AACAAGGTTAAGCTTCCTAACTTACGTAAGACTACATTCAAGTGGATCTTTCCCGGCAAGGATTTGGAACTAGACAGTTGTATTTCTACATTAAATCCTACATCCACTACGTCCACTACATCCACCACATCCACTATATATACAACATATGTATAAAAAAAACATAAAAGAGTTCATCTTATCGTGATTTTAGCGCTGTCAGACCAACTCTAAATAGCGGGTCTGAATTCTTCCTGTTCGACTAGTAAGCCCAACCCAACAAAGAACCGGTGTGAGCTCTTCTTGTTTGTTTCCCACGCGGCTCGCATATGCACACGTGGAGGAAGGGCGCTTAAAAAAAATCCCTTTGCAACCGCTTCAGAAAGGACCTAGAACAACCATTTGCCTGGCATTTTACCTCGGCCATCCTTGCGTGCACGGGGGCCTGACCGCATACCCTCGTCTCCAAAACTCGATTGGAAAATGGAGCCCTGAGAGGGTTCGTTTGCACGCAACCCCTCACCGTTCAAAGTTGTTTGCCAGAGGTTGCGCAGCGCGGAGCTCCACTCTCCCACAGCTCGCAGCCGCTCCACGTCACTCGCACTCTCCACTACCACCGTCCCACTCTCCTGGTCAATCTTGGCATTGAGCTTTTTGTCAAGGATGAGGAAACTGAGAATGTCCAAAACCTCGGGTACAGAGACCTTGATGTGTTTGGAGATAAATTGCAGCGAAAACCGGGTATAGGGTGCAATCAATTTAAGAACGGCCTTGGTACGCATGTTGCGGCTGACCTCGTCGATGTTCTCCGCAATGAAAGGATCGGCCAAGACATCCGGATGTTTGCTCAGCACGTCCTCGTATGCATGGATGTCGTCCCTCTGGAAGGCATCCACTAAGTCAGTCATCGCTGAAATGCGGGGGTCATTCTTGTATGGCTTGGTTTCCTGAGAATCGAAGGGATTGATGTCGGACTTCATAAGCATAGTCGTTAAGACTAGGTATTTGAGAACTTGGATTCGTTGCATCGAACCCGCCTCGTCGTAATTTCGGAATGACTCGAAGAAATCACTTTGTGCCTCCTTCCAGTTCTCTTCGCTCATGTGCATCTTGCCTCCACATTCACGGATAATGCCCATGATTTTGGGATGGGGCACTGCCGACCGTACTCGGAGTGCGCGCTGGTATAAGGCCTTTAGTCGTTTGTTATTCTTTGTTTCGGCGGACATCTGGATCTCAAGGGCGTAGAGCTCGAGCAGGTATGTTCCTTTGCTGGTATCGTCCGATCCGTCCTCTCGTTGGCATGCCCGGTGCAATTCCCGCATCTTCTTGCCAAGCTGGCCGTATTTCTTTCGCTCCAGCCACAGACGAGCCAGTTTAATGTTAGTCTTCAGCCAAAGGCGCTCGTTGTTTGTGTTTTGGAATGATTCGAGGGTCAGGGAATAGAATTCCTCCATGCATTGGTACGCCTCTGCATTGTCGGACCCTTTCTCGATAAAGTCGAGCATATTGTTGATCGATTTCTCGGAGTAGTTCCGTGTAACCGCGGATTTGACGTATGTGAGCAGTTCCCGGTAGTGTGCGACGGTCTAATGAAGAGATTGAGTCAATATCTGGACAGCTAGATCGGTTTTTGGGACATGAGCTTACATCGCTGTATCGCCCAAGCTTAAATTCCAGCTTGATAGCCTGCTTGAGACCTTTGAATCCCCTATATTTTCATAGTTAGCGACATGTGTTGCGATCAGCCTTGGAGTTAATAAATTACCAGTCGCTTTTGTCTTGTTCCATGGGCGCTATGCCTAGGAACTCGTCCACTGCCTCTTCTGGATTGTCGACCTTGATCTGCTTGGCATTGTAGTATTTGTTCTCGATACCGATGTCACCGGAATCGTCGTCGTCTGCATCCTCATATTCGAAGTCGTAACTGTGATTTGAACGGTCAGCTCTCGGTCGCGAAGGCAAAGTGAACAAGGGACCAATACTCCTCATCCCCAGAATCCTGCATAAAATCATCATCGTCAGACATCTTGGGCGTGTGATATTTGGACAGAGAAGAAGGGTGGTTAGGATAGAGAGGGTCGCAAAGTGGTGGGGTTGGAGTGTTGGAGAAGCTGGGTCAGATAACAGCTGTGAGCTTTCCGCCTTGACTATCGTGAGGAGACCACCTGCTTAGGACATTGTACATTGTATCATTGTATGTTTATAAGCCAACAATATTAATTCAGCTTGTTTGAATAATGATTGTTCAATAGGCCTACGCTCATTCAATGCTACGCTTAAATGGTTTGTTATTATTATTATTCCATTTATTGTTCCACTCCATTGAACCACCGACCTATGCGAAGGAAATCTATCGACTTACAGTTAGAGGACTGTTCAAGTGCCTACAACGTGAATATATGAATTATTCCAAGCATGTGAAATTGGGTTGATAAGTTAGGCCACATCAGAAAGGAAATTAAGAGTTCCACCTAAATATTTGCATCCCATAAGCTTTGTTACCTGTCAGGGGCTTGGTATGTTGATTATTGCAGTGCTACTAGGCTATCCACATATTAAAAGCTAAATGTGAGCTTTAATATGCCGGTAGAAAGAAAGCCAAGGTAGACTTGTATGAAAAAGAGCAAGAAGAGGCCATGTCCTCCGTATGAATTCATAGAAAATCCGTGGGGAGTATAAGCCCCAAGACCTAAAACTTCCAGGAACATGCCCAAACAAACCTATCGTATGAGGCGGTTCTTAAAATGGACTTAATTTAACAGCCAAATTATCAAAAGGTAAAAAAAAAAAAATCTCTTAGGTGGACCAGAAGGGGGCTGACGCTATTCGCCGATCCCTCAGGCCCTCCAGTGCTCGATGTCATCGACTCAGCCAGTCCTGGAATCTCCCCCCGACAACAACCTCGTTCTTCTACTGTCACATAATTATTCCCAACTCTTATACGAGTAACGCTTCACGAACCAACAAATAATACCCGGACCTACTGTCCATTGTCCCCCCCTTATCTCCTTACTCCGCGTCTCCTGAATCACTTTGCGCAATGCAGCTGTGCGGCAGGCAGAAGGTGGTCCAGCGCAAGATGGTGCTGCTGTTAGTTTTGATTGGAATTTCCCCGCTGATTATTGGCGATTGGTCTGACATTATTCCAGAGGCGATGGTGCCTGCGGCAAGACATCTGCGCTGAATGTGTTTACTCGTGGGTGCGCTATCTCCCCCACCCGTCTCCGATGAATGACAGCATAGCTAACGGACTTTGACTAGATTCTTCCCGACGGTCTAGTAAGGAACTCTACTATCTTCGGAGCATACTTTTCAATACAGGTTACTGACTCTGGTTATTGTCTGTGTTCAGCGAGCCTACGGTCTTTGGTAAGCGCGCATTCCCCTAAAGTTGAATTAATTTCCTGAACCCGCATCGCTAACCTCGGAGGAATATAGAAAACTACGTGCATGGTACATAACCCCGCTCCCCTCCTCTGATCACGATCATCGAAACTCACACGCACCCTAGATATCTTCGTCGACAACATACATGTGGAGCTCTCGCTATGGGATACCGCCGGCCAAGAAGAGTTCGACCGACTGCGAGCGCTGTCCTACGAGGACACGCATGTGCTGATGCTCTGCTTCAGTGTAAGCACAATGCTCTCCATCTCAGACACCACCTCGTACAGGGCTAACAAGCTCTGAAAAATAGGTCGACAGCCCTGACTCGTTCGAGAACGTGTCGTCGAAATGGATCTCCGAGATTAACGAGAACTGCCCGGGTGTGCGCGTGGTCCTGACAGCCCTCAAGTGCGATTTGCGCAAGGACGAAGATATGAACGATAACCCCAACTCCATCAGCTTCGACCAGGGCCTAGCGAAGGCAAAGGAGATTGGTGCCGTGAAGTACCTGGGTGAGTGCTCCTCGATACATTTATACCTGATCACACGGCTTATATTATTTTCAGAGTGCTCTGCGGTCCAAAATCGCGGCATTAGAGAAAGCTTCTACGAGGCTGCTAAGGTTGCCCTCGAGGTTAACGCGGGCGGGGGCTCGTCCTCCGCTTCTCAGTGCATCATTCTGTGAGATGATTCCTTGTGGTCTATTCCTGATACGCATGGTATCGCTTCATGTCTTTGCTATTGGCCTTCTTTTGCTGGCTGGATATCCATCTTTAGAAGGTCTCTATCCTTTCTTCCCTCTTCGCCCTCTTGTCTTTAGTTTCTCCCCACGTTTATCCCGGTTGGATTTGTTGATTCCCCCATGCATTCGGTGTTTTGAGCTTGCTTTCAACTTTTTTCTTCTCCGGAGCGGACCATGTCTGCTCCCTTCAGACCTCATAGAAACAGGTCTATGTTGATTGCATGATTGCATAACTCCGGATCTCTGTGTTCCGAGCATTTCAGCGAGGTTGGTTTTTTTGACTCCTAACTATGATATATAAATATAATTTTCATTGGATTTTGTAGGGGGTTTTATGTATTATTTTTTCTAATATTTTCTACTTCAGTGAATCAATAGTTCTCGGCCATCACCTCACCACCTTTAGCTCACCGCCATAAAGGTACTTTTGACAAGGTACCTTATTACCAAATCTTGCCAACAAAGATACTTCAAACTGAGTGGCTTTTCTGCTAGCAGTGCTTCGTCATTCATATTGCTCATCTGGGCAATAACTTCCAAGGACCTCCAAGGCTGCGCCTTGTGTTTCTCCGTCTTTTTGTCTTCGCTCGCCTTATATGGCCTAATTCGCATTGTGACCACATTAGAATACAGCTATGTACATAATGCACTTCCTCGTTGGGCATGTTACATTGCATCCTCATCGTGATCCAGACCATCCAGTCAAGTCACCAAGCACAGCTCGCTACCAGCTAAGATACATACATCATACATCATCGTACATATAGATTCTACAAGCCCGACAGCTGAGCTATCGAACAGCATGAAACAACCAAGCAACATAAACATAACACTAATACAACAAGCTCCGCATCATCCAAGCATAGTATCCACAAACCAAAGCTCTATACTAGACATCATTCAGCAGATCCTCCTCCCGAACCCGATAAACCTCATCAATCCTCTCCCCATGCGAATTCTCCCCACATGCAAAATCAGCATTAACTCGACTAACAAACTTCTCCACAAATGCAGCAGCAACATCTCCAACCTCCAATCCCGGAACATTCACCCCCTGCAGACTAGTTGCCTCCTTGCCCTCCAGCCCACAAGCCACAATCTGCTTAAAGAACCACATCGGCTCATCTGTAACATTCAGCCCGATTCCAAAGCTGCTGATATTGCGTCGTAGATGAACCCCCACAGCCGTGATCTTCCTCGGTTGTAATTCTGATCCTGATTCCGATTCTGCGATGGGTTTCACCCACACCCCCGGATCTTCTGTTGTAAACCCCTCAACCCCGTAGCTCTTTAGTAGATCGATGACGCTATTCTCCAGAACACGAATGTGACACCGGGGCGTTAGACCCAGTCTCTTGAGATCCAGGATCGTGTACGCGACCATCTGGCCCGGCCCGTGGTAGGTTGTCTGTCCGCCGCGGAGAGTTGGGTGGTACTCTGCCTTTGCGGGTTGGTTGCCGTGCGGGGTGAAGAGGGAGCGGATTGGTTCGAGTGCTGGGGGTAGGGAGAGAACTGGGCTTGATGTGGAGGGCGGGCTTGTGTTTGAAGGCGGGAGGTCGCGACGGCCGGTGGTGTAGACGGGGTTTGGGGTGAAGGTGATGATCGTTGGGTCTGGAGGCGGTGGTGGGGTTTTGGCTAGCGTGGCGCTTGGGTTGCTGGGCTCTTGTGAGGATATTGAGCCTGGGGAGGCGAGCTTTTTGTGTGTGAGGAGCCGGGTTGTGAGGGCTTGTTGGATGTGAGAGACCCGGCTGAAGGGCGTTGTGTGGGGGAGGTGGAGGTGTGCGAGTCTCATTTTGGGTGATTTTTTGGTGGTGAGATATGGTTGAGGTCTTTGGTTTGTAGGAATTGGATATCTCAGTGCATTGTAGGGTTGTGGGAGAGAGGTTGCGTTTTCCACGGAGTACGAGGTCGGTTGTTGCGGAGAAGCTGCAAGCTCGCTCCGATAAGGTTTGATAAGTGGCGGCCCTCTGCGATCTCTGTCTATATTCCTGGGACACTGGCATTTGAACCTAATATCTATAGCTATTTGTGTTGATTTCTATTTTTTTTTTTTTTAATCCTGCACCATCATGCGCGTGCAAGCCATTTGACAAGGTGACAATTTTAGACAAATTCTGCCCGAGGGAATCATACGTTGGCGAGTAGTCCCTAAATTGAATAACCAAATTATACTCGAGTTGGTTGGGGATGGAGTACCAATGCGGTAAGAATCATAGGTTCATTGTTATACACTAATTCCTTGCATTCCAAATTGAAACTGGGGCATAATGATTCCAAACTATGAAGAAGCCACACCATTCACCAGCCCAGAGTCCTGCTGCTCAGCAGGAAGCAGAACCCAGTCGCGCACACCACCCTTCCAATCCGCAATACGACCCTCAGTGACTCTTACAGTGACGACCCGCACATCAGTATCAATGGAAACGCTAGGCCGTCTGGCGTTAGGATCCTGTTGCTGCTGCTGCTGGCCGAAGAGGTTGATCTCCTCCTCCTCAAAAGTATTATTCTCCAAATGGCGAGCCTTGCACCACGATTCCTCCTCCGAGCCGGACTCCAAGAACTGCGCCTCGCCCGTAATGGTAGTCGAGATGCTGGAGAGCGCGCTGGTGTTCAGGTTGAGCAGCAGGCTGGCAAGAGACGAGCGGGTAGCAGCGGGTGGTGGGGAGCCGTCGCGTTCACCTTGTGTCGGGGCCCTGGTCGGTGGGCGATGCGACACCCAGTCGTGGACCAGCAGTGAGACTCGCGGGTTGGACAACAGGTGGTTTGTTTTCCGCGATGCGGGGTTGGTGGTCATGATGATGGTGGGGCGCGGGTCGAATGGGGTTGAGGGGAGATAGGTGTAGGACATCAATGAGATATGGGGTGTTTTGTCATCACATGTTGCCAGGTGCAGCTTGATTGGGGCGACAGGGGGTTAGTTTGGTGGGCTAGTTAGATGTGTAATGGCGTTGTACTTACGAAGCGGGAGTTCTTGAGACACGAGATGACCTCGCATGGCAGCGAGGTAGCGACATGGGGATGAGTGGTTGTCGCAGATGCCTCATAAGAAAGCGGGGGGTTGAGTGATTCGGCCATGTTCTTAAAGATTGAAGTACCAAAACAGTAATAGTGAAGTTAGGACTTCGGGAGAAGAGGGTCGAGATCTGCCCGGGGGCGGTGTCCCCGTTACCCAAAGGGCTTAGGTGCCCGCTTTTAGTCCGACGTCATCACTTCATGTTGGCTATGGAATCCCAAGTTAGTAGCCTTGCAGGCTATGCTCCGATATACGGCAGTTTGTTATTTTACTCATTTTTCGGGTGGAAATAGAACAGAATACTCCAGGCAGATGCCTCAGTACCCTATAGCCCTGGAGATCAGAAGTGATGTGTACTTTGTAAGAGCGTGGAAACAGCACAGACAATGTCATGGCGGCAGATGTGTCGGATGTTGTGTTACTATTGCATGATATTTGCATCTGTCGAGTACAAGAGAATAGCCGTGTCTCTGCTCCGTACTCCGTAGCTCTATAGTACTAGCCTATAATAAGTGGCGATGTACGCTATCCCAAGTACAGATGCCTGCAGAAGCCCAATAGTATTGGGTACATCTCAGCGATGTCATCATTACCCACATTTTAGTGGCAGATCAGCTGTGAACCTGGGCAAGTGATACCAACACAGCCCGTCACTATTACTCCATACCAAGAACTCGGGGAAGCTCCTTCCCCGCACATGAGCTACCGCTTAACAAAAGTCAACATTTGACATTCTAAGCACATTGTACTCGGTGTATTCAATACTGTAATCAATTCGCAGTGGTTGGATCAATTCTACTCCTCAGTCTAGTGCTACCTTTTGTTACTGGTTACTGGTACTAGACATTCTTATTCTCCGATCGGATCAGTACATCCCCCGATCATCGCCCCCTTCTTCAACTTACCCTCTCCACTGCAACTCCAGCCTGACCCCTGCACTTACCTCTCTCCACTCTCCTACCAACCCCCCCCCCCCCTCTTCACTTTGTTTCTACCATCTTCACCTCTCACTTGTCTTCCTCTTCTTCCCACTCCTTGATTCTATATCGTACTTCCCTAGCTTGTTGTCAACTTTGGATCCATCATTGTCAAGCGCATTTTCTCTCCCTTGGTCTTTCCATATACCATCATGTTGGGTCCACGCGCAGCCCGTTCAGCCCGATCGGTGACCTCACTCTTGCGACCATTCAGCTCATCAGCCGTGGCCTATCGTTCTCCCTCCATTCGAGATATTACAGCCCAGTCGACCGAGGAGTACCTCAGACGGCAGAAGGAGTTCCGCGAGAACTTGGAACAGGCTCGTTTGAGAAGAGAACAGCAAGAGAGTCAGTCTGTCGATGCTTCTCCTTCTTCATCTTCCCCTTCCCGTGAGTACGCTCCCACTGCTCCACACGTGAGCAATGCGAGTAGCCATGATCGTATCCGCCCTACTTTCGATGCTGCCATGACGCTTGACCAGAAAGGACTGGGCTCACTCTCAATGCACCGCTATCTAGGGGATGACCAGCAACAAGAAGCCGCGGCCAAACGTGGCCCTTTGTCCTCGCTCATCTACGGCACCAAGGAGGGTCAACATTTTGACAAGGATATGGAGCGCTCCTTCTCACAGGTTCTAGCACGCGGCAAATACGTCCATTCGATCGTTATGCACGATGTTAAGCCCGATAAGGTTGATGAGTATGTGGATCTGGTGGGCCAGTGGTACCCCCGCATGGCAGGTACCGAGGAGAACCGTGTCAACTTGGTGGGCAGCTGGCGGACACAAGTCGGCGACAATGATACTTTCAGTAAGCCCTGATCAAACTATCCCATCATCTTCTGTGTGTTGACTCAGTCCTTGTTTGAATAGTCCACATCTGGGAATACCAACGCTATGAAGGCTACCACGACTCTCTCCACAACATCTCGGAACACCCAGAGTTTCGTGACTTTGATCGCAAACTCAAGAGCCTGATTAAGAGCAAGCGGACTTCGTTGATGCAGGAGTTCTCGTTCTGGCCCACAACCCCACCTCGCCGTCTCGGTGGGCTGTTTGAGCTTCGGTCATACACACTGCACCCGGGCAATCTCTTGGAGTGGGAGACACACTGGCGTCGTGGTCTTACAGCTCGTCGTGAGGTGATGGAGGGTGTTGGTGCATGGTTTGTGCAAATTGGCGAATTAAATACAGTGCACCACCTGTGGCAGTTTGCCAACTTAGAGGAGCGCAAGATCTGCCGCGAACAGTCATGGGGTGTCGAAGGCTGGGCCGAGACGGTTCACAAGACTGTTCCCTTGATCCAGACCATGCAGAGCCGGATTCTTGTCCCGATGCCCTGGAGCCCTGTCGGCTAAATTGCGAGAGCCAGCTGAAACAATTTCCCTTGGCCTATCTTCCAGATCTTGGCGTCCAGGGAATCTTCATTGTTTGAACAAGGATGTCGCGAGGTGTATTGACCGAGATTGGTCGCTATTACCCCATACCCTTATTTCCTTTCCATCCGGATGCATGCTATGGGATACTAGGCCCTTTGCAATCCGATTCTGTATCGTGTACCTAGGCATTAAGCATGTGTCAACTCCATTAGTCAAACATCAAACCTCTTATTAGTTACGAACCTGGTTTCCCCATATTATTCGTTGAGCTCGGATGTCCGAGCAATCTTGGAACGTTCGTGCCCTCGGATAACCCCACTTTTTGCTCATCTCAACACTTTAAGGAATTTCATTGGCAACGCTTAGATCGCTTGGGCAGAGGTGTTGCGTAGGTGAATATTCACCTGCCCAGGTGCACATGGATTGCTGAGTTGAGAAGAGAAGAATAAGTGTTGTAGTCAAATCTCTACATACCTCCATGTATGAAGATGAACATCTTGATCTAATCTAAGACCTCACTTCTCTCCGCCGGCAGAAAAAAAAAAGTCAACAAAAGATCGGGACCAAGTGGCCTCTTTCTCTCTCTTCGACGCCGATCTTTAATATCAAATCATAGACCCGCATTTACGGCTGTTTCTCCCTAACGGAGATCAGATCTTCTTCTCTTCTTTTCTTCTTTTCTTCTTTTCTTCATCCTCTCTTTTTCCCCTTTGTTTTCGATTACCCTTCCCGGAGATACCTTCTCCGATATCGTTCATTATTACCCTTCGCCTTTTATCGCGCGTGTTTAATTGCGAAAACCGCAACGCGACAACTCAATCAAATATATGACTCGCGGTCATAACGGAAAACCCAAATAATAGACACCTGCGCGTTCACAGACGCGCAAAACAACCAACAGAATGGTGTACATCCGGCAACACGAATTGGCGAATCTGAAGAACTACAAATATGCTGGAGTCGACCATTCGCCTGTTAGTCAGTATATCCTGAAGCCGTTCTACAACAAATGCGTGATTCGCTGCTTCCCCATGGGGATGGCGTGAGTATACTCCCTCCTTGCTTCGCTCCCCGGACTTTGTGTGCACGGGTTATACGTCCTCGCGCTGGTGCCCTTTTTTGCATACTAGGATGGATACACTATTCTTCCTCTCTTCCCTATCAAATTCCGGAGAATCTATACACAGCGCAATATGACTGACTCGATTCTTATACTCTTTGCGCGTTTAAAGACCCAATGCTGTAAGTCTTGCCCATGCGACATTGTTGCGATTTCTGGAGTATAAGAAAGGATCCTAATTCTTCGCTTCGATAGATCACCCTCACCGGATTCATGTTCGTGGTAATTAATTTCATCACCGTTATGTGGTACAACCCGAACTTGGATACGGACTGCCCGCCCTGGGTCTATGCCAGTTGTGCGATTGGCTTGTTCCTGTACCAGACCTTCGATGCCGTAGATGGCATGCAGGCGTATGTTTACACTTTTCCGTCGGACAATTCAGGTGCGCTTTACTGATATTGACTGCGCTTTAGACGGAGGACGAGACAGAGTGGCCCGCTGGGCGAGCTCTTTGATCACAGTGAGTTCCCGAATACAGTAGGCCGAAGTGGATGGATTACTGATTCTTTGTTCTTATGTTACTAGGTGTCGATGCATGCAATACCGGTCTCAGTGTCTTGGTCTTCGCAGCGGCAACGAACATGGGCCAGTCCTGGATGACCTTCATCGCTCTATTCGGCTGTAAGCCCGGCCCTCCCCATATCCTTCCAAACATAAATCGTCTCTGACAATCGCAGCAACAATGACCTTCTACGTCCAAACATGGGATGAGTACTATACGCAGATCCTCACATTGGGCGTAATATCTGGTCCCGTCGAGGGCATCCTCACCATATGCCTCGTCTACATTATCACCGCCTACATGGGCGGCGGCAGCTTCTGGCACCAGGCCATGCTGGAGACCATCGGCGTGCCGAAGCCTAGCTTCCTCCCAAGCCAAGTGTACAACCTGCCCTTCACCTATTGGTATCTTGGGTATGGCTCACTCATGCTCTGCTTCGCCATCGGCTCGAGTATCACGAACGTCATGAAAGTGCGTCGCGAGCGAGGCCAGGACCCCTTCACGCCGCTGTATGGCCTCCTGCCTTTGGCGGTTATCTGGACTCTCATTCCCGCCTACCTATACCTGCAGCCGGTGATTTTGGAAAACTACACCATTCCCTTCGGCGTGTTTGTGAGTCTCATCAATGCCTACTCTGTCGGCCGCATTATCATCGGCCACCTCACCCAGACGAGTTTCCCCTACCAAAATGTCCTGCTGTACCCGCTCGCTCTGGGTGTTCTGGACAGCGTGGGTGCGCTGATCGGCTTGTGGTCCGCCCCTGTGCTTGGGTATGGTGTTGGGCAGGTGGCATTCATGTTCGGGTTATTGGGACTGGCCGTCGGTGTGTACGGTAGCTTCGTGGTATGTTTCCCCTTATCTTTCCAAGTATGCGCGACGATTTGCTGATTTTAATTTCCTCCAGTTTGACATCATCACCACGATATGCGACTACGTCGATATCTGGTGCCTCACGATCAAGTACCCGTTCGTCGAGGAGACTGAGCGCAAGACCGGCGTGTCGAAGAAGACCAAATGAAAGGCTTATTGGCGCATTCCGGAGTGTTTGGTGGGCTTGTGGATGAACAGCAGTTCAACCTCGATCACCGCAGGTGAGACAGCTCAATTGAGCTAAGTGAGAGTCGGGTATCAGTCGAACACTTGAAAAGAGCGTTGGACATAATGATGCCTGGCTAATGACGCTTTCCAGTACATAATTTAGTTTCCCTTCAACACAGAGCAAGTAGCTCGGGGTGGCGTTCTAGCGATAGAATATGAGAATTGTAATATTGCCGTTCCAAGGTTGAGATTGTTGTAGAAGAATAATGAAGCACCTGACTGCCTGCCCGCAGCGGAATCCACGTCTCCACACGGAACCAGCGATTGAGCTCGTGCTTACCTCAGTAGCTTACCTAATCAACCCATGATTGGTGGAAAGTTCGCCGCCTTCCCGAATAAGGACAAGCGAGGGCACAAAGCGGCACAAAGCCCTACCTCCACCCAAACCGGTCCAAATCCCTTCAGACTTCTCTTGGAAGACCACCTCATCCGCATCACACAAGGCCATCGCCATCAGCGCCATTAATCAACTATCTCGCTGATCGACTTTCACTCGTCAAGATGGTAAGCCCATTTTCGCCCTGATTTTCCGCTCAGTCCCAGTTTGATGCGATACACACGGACATGGGAGACATACGGATTATCGATTCCAAAAATTCAACGTCCACTGACGCTAACATGCTGTCGATAGGTTCTCGCGGTCGATCTCCTCAACCCCACCCCCCAGGCCGAGGCCCGTAAGCACAAGCTTAAGGTATGAAACAACCGACCTCCGAAAGAAACACGAAAAGAAATGTGAAAATATCAACCCGATGGGGGGCGAAAACCTGGATATTCGACCTGGACCTGGACCTCCGATGCTCGACATGGGAGCTAATGGGGAAAGGCACCGAACGACAGGAATGATATATGGAATCTTTTTTGGAGGATGGGAATGTTGGAAGAACAATGATGGCTGATTATCGAATCTCTCCGCCTACAGACCCTCGTGCCCCAGCCCCGCTCCTTCTTCATGGACGTCAAGTGCCCCGGTTGCTTCACCATCACCACCGTCTTCTCGCACGCCCAGACCGTCGTCATCTGCGCCGGTTGCTCGACCGTCCTTTGCCAGCCCACAGGTGGCAAGGCCCGTCTGACTGAGGGCTGCTCTTTCCGCCGCAAGTAAACGAGAAACGAATGAAAAACTTTTTTTTCTTGTTATGTTCCGGTTGAAACGTCAAAGAGAGAATTAGCATGGAGAAATTAGGATGAAAATACCAAAACTCGGGGTTGACCTCTTCTTACCTTTTTTTTTGATCGTCTCGGCTTCGGTTTTCGGTGTTTCCGAGAGAGAGTTGCTATGCGGGTCCAGTTCCATATACTGGGCTTTTCTCTCTTTCTCTCTTCCTACCGGGCTTCAAAATGTCACATACCATACAACCCTTTTTCAATATCACCCTTCCCCTACCGAACCACATGGACGGATATCTTCCTTTAATTGTTTTTTCGACTGGTGTTGGGTTTTGTGAGGGGTGCGATTTGCAGATATTGATATGGTTTTTTTCCATACTATATCAAGTGTGCTGAATCCCCTCTTGAAGAAGACAAATTTGAATGTGGCCTTTTGGGACCCATTTCTCATCCTATTTTCCACCCATTGCCTGTTCCTTTTTTTGCATTTCACGGTGATGATTAATATCTCAGCGTTGAATTCTTGTTTTCCTTTGCGCGTGATGACAGATAGAAGATGGAATGCCCCGACCCTGTCAACGACCCCCCAAAAAGCATTCAAAAAAAAAGCAACTAGCATTCTGCTAAGGGAGTTCCGGATATCTGGCACAAAAAGGCACCTTGCTAGACTTTGTGCTCTATTTTATGTTCTGATTTTCTGCTTTCTTGTGTTTAATGTATTAAATGTATCTCCGACTACTGTATATTGGGTTCTAGACTCTATATCATGAGTTGTGCTTTAGACGGCTGCCAACTGTAGATGTATAGCCGTAGCTCTACACTGCCGAACATTACCTACCCGTTATGTTATATGGTTAGTCACCGGTATATCAAATGTGCTATACGTCGACGGTCCAACTGGAAAGCAGACTCCCGACTAACCCGTCGAAATTGGGGGCTGTTACGTATGTTCAAGCTGTATCGTTCAACCGTCCAAAATTGGAACAACGATTGACGTAAGCGCACTCAATGCCAATACTGACGAACTCGACCTCGCTGCAAGATTGGCTTATAAAAGTAGTGACGAGCTACTAATCACACGAGCTTCGCATCTTAGCAAACCTACTGGGGATGCCATTGTACGATTTCAGATTAGCCTGGTCAAGTCTATAGGAAGTATCAAAACCAATACTGTTAAAGATCGACAACATCACAAAAATCCCTAACATGCTAGGGTTGATGAAGCACGGGTTACTTCTCAATCCTTGGGTGGCTATGTGTCTAAGTGAAGGCTGTGTACTCTGTAAGTGGCCATGCCAATAGATGACAGGTCTTGGGTGGATCAAAGGGGCCCAATAATGTTATACTTGGATTAGTGCGGAGGAGGATGAGAGTCGGCTTTTCACATCTATATCGCACTTACCATCCGACAACTAGCGAAGAATAACGGGTGTGTCATAGATGGGGGTGACGAGTCCATTCACTGTGCCTTGCGGTAAATCAAGATTGCCAATCAAAGTCTTGTTATCGTGCTAGTCAGCCTTAGCTCGAGGTAGATGAGGCAGTGAAACCAAGTCACATTAATGCAAGAACACGTATGACACTAAATAATCACACCAGGTTAGATCAGGGAATCTTAAACCCAAGTAACTCATCCTCTTGAACTTTTCATTGTATTACTATTCCAGTGTCAGCCTGCAGATCCTATAGCTCAACTCCTGCGGCACTGTCGTTCTTCGATTCGTTGTCTCCTAACACTTGGGGCACTATGGCAATTTTCTGGCATTGCTGTGAATGCCAGTTTGGGCCACACTCTTCGTCCGTATATGATGCATGCATACAGTGTGGGAAAATACGCTGCGCCCGATGCGTAGAGGAGAAAGTTAGTGAGACCCCGCAAACATCGTTGAGGCGAGAAACCACAGGACAACCCCCAAATTACTCCACTGGTAGGAGGAAGAGATTGCAGCGACAGACCACTGAGGAAAAAGCACCCATTAGCACTGTATCATCCAGTAGGGATACTGGTGTGCCGAAGCGACTACTCCGGTGGCTTGAACCAACACCTCAGTCACTACGTCGGCGAGGATCCTCTACTAGTCCAGAAACACTGCCTAATAACCCTAAGGACGACATCCAAAGTGTACCTTTTTCTGCACCTCAGACTTCCACGAGTTACATAATCTACTCCTCATCACTGGGATCTATTTTGGTAGATTGGGTCTACGAGCAGCTTTCTAGCGGTGTTTATTCTTCCAACGAGGTTCGGGCGCTCGAGGATGTTCTTATCGAACTAAAGAATACTCAACCGGGACTTATATCCGTGAAAACCGAGGATGAATTGTCGTTCTGGAACAATTTGAAGGGCAAAGTGGAAAGAATCATTGGGTTACTTGACTGGTCACCCTTTCAGCCATATATGGTGCCCCTCACCCAAGACCAAGTTAGGTTGTTCTGGGAATGTGTACGTATACTTCCTTGAACCTAAGTCAATTCTGACTGACATAAATGTCCCCAGCCATGCGGTGATACACGTTGGGCCGCGGTGCCTCGATCCTTTGGACTCAAGATCAAGGACGCTTACAGGACCAATGCTGCACAAGCAACTCAGAAGAACATGTCAGGAAGTGGCAGTTCACTCCCTGAGATAGGTACCTCAAGTCAACTCTCTGGCGTGAGGGCCAGAACACAAACTGGAGAACCAGTTTTCGAATCAGGTCTTCCTCGGTCGACAGTTGAGTGCCAAAGCTCAGAAAGTCCTCAAAATGCCGGCTCCCAGCTACATGCTTTCCTCGTTCTCCTAAATTCATCGATTTTCGGCAGTGTGCACTGTCTTGCGCAATCATCCGTTCGTAATATGAGTGACCTCGACTTTTTTGCTTGGATTCGGAATTCATATTATTCTAACCGAGGATTTCTTGCCATCTGGTTTGGCCTTTACAGATATTCGCATTGTGAATTCTTTCAGGTGAGTTCTTATAAGGCTATCCAATTAGGGTGGTAAACTTACCAGCTATACGTGATACAACATATATGCACTTGACAAACTGACGATTACCAGTTTCGAAGATTCGACGGGTATGAGTACGCTCCCTTACTACCCGATTATCCCGACGAGGATCAACCATCTTATCACTTCGCGCCAAAGCCCATGCGCCCTCGTCCACCAATGGCATCTCATGAGTTCGACCATTGGTTCTATAAAGAATCTTGGTCTCGCGCTGCCCGACGACTACTTTCTACAGAGCGGTACCGGAGGAAAAACAAGCGAATGCGTTTCTTCCTCGAAAGTAGATGTGTGGTCGAAGAGAAAATCCCCAAGAGAGAGACTGCGCTTGAAGAAGGGATCCCTGCGAGCGAGGATTTCTGGGGTCTGTACGTCGTTGAAAAACGTTCGATATTCAGACTGGCGATCTATAGTCTCGCTTTCATGTCTCCTTCGGTCTACTTCTTCTTCGCATGGTTGTTTCAATGGGGTCATGTAGGGGATTTGCAGAACGCATCAATTCCAATTGCGCTTTCACTAGCACCCCTTGCGACATTTTGGGGATTTGTCTTATCTACTCTTCCAACTAGGTTCGACGGCCCTCAAAAATTTAGAAGTTAACGAAAGATTGGTCCCCCATTTCTTCAATGAGAGACATCCTAGAAAGGTTTAGATAGGGGTAACTAGAGTGAAAAATGGATTGTGGCCTCTGTTCTATATTTACATAGTTGCCCTAAGATCTTGAGAATGCGGGTCCCGGGAGTTCCCCACCTTGCGCACTACGCTTGTCTGCTTTGGTATGTATAACCCTAGAGGTCTCGAGGTAAACAAGCTTGGGGAACAAACCTGGTTTTTGGTCTTGCCTGATACTCTATCTTCTTTGAATATCTTGGCTAACCTTTGTAGAATCTATACAGCCTCGTTCTATCTGACAAGGGTTATGTCCTCTTCTCGTATGCAGAAATACCAAAACTTGAAGGACCGAAAAGAAATTGAAGTTCAGTTATTCAAGGCTGTATGTGGATATGGGTATGTCATGATAAATGTTTGTATGCATGAAGTCATGGACAAAAGATGCCAGTAACTCAGAGAAAGACGGAAACCAAAGACCAAACAGAGTAAAGTCCGGTCAAGCCCGTCCTGATCCTCCCATCCCATTGAATGAATATATATAAATGAATAAGAAAACCAAGCATTAAACGCCTTACTGAGTCAAAATGAGGGCCTTGTTCTTGATCTCCGGGCCGAAATCAACAGGGTTGGAGGGGTCACCACCGGTCATCATAGACAGCTTGCCAGACTTGTCATTGATGAGCATATTGGCAAACGCATTGCGGCCTTCAATCTCGTTCACGGCAGTCTTAGCACCGTTGTCACCAGCAGCGTACTTGTCGGCGTCGACGGCCTTCAGCTGGTTGTGACTGTTACGGACGAAGTCGTACAGGAAGAAGATAGTTGGGTGGGTGCTAGGGGGCTTGCTCTGGGGGTGGGATTCAAAGGCACTGTTCAGACTTATTAGCAACATACCGTATGTTTCTGCGAGGTGAATTGTTGAGAGATTCAGAAAGATGTTGCGGGGTGGGGTTGCGAGGTGGGGGAGACATGCTCGATGAGCGCCTGCATCTTGGCATTAAGGTCTTGGATATTGGTGCTAGGCATGATGGCGGGTTGTATGTGGTAATTTCAAGAATGGAAAGAATTGAGACTCAAATTGGATGTTTGTTGATGTGATGAAGCTGTTTGGGGTCAGAATTTCCCAAATAGGACTCCACAGTCCGCCCTCTTATCTCTTATCGTGCTACATCGGAGAGGTGGAGAAAAAGTCACTCTCCTCTACTTTCTCCTCTTCCCTCCAATGTATGTTGTATAAGACAAGCCACTCCTCCCAGCCCTTAACATAACTTTACTTTCCAGAGTCACCCACACCCGGCTTCTCACAACAATGGCCCCCATCCCGACAGCCTCGACGCGGCAACCGCTCAAACTACTCATGCTCCACGGCTACACGCAGTCCGGCAGCCTCTTCCACGCAAAAAGTCGCGCCCTGACAAAAAGCATCCAAAAAGCCTTCCCTCTCCATGAAGTCTCCGCCATCTACCCAACAGCCCCAATCCGCCTCTTGCCCTCCGACATCCCAGGCTACGAGCCCTCCGCGGAAAGCAGTCCAGACAACGAAATCGAATCCTACGGCTGGTGGCGACGCTCCAACACCGCAAACCCGCCGTTGTACACCGGCCTGGAAGAAGGGTTCGCAGCTGTCGCGCGCACACTGAAAGAAGAAGGCCCCTTTGATGGCGTGATCGGGTTCTCGCAGGGCGCCGCACTAGCCGCAATGGTCGCGGCGCTGCTGGAGCCCGGCCGGAAGGCGTCATTCAAGCACTTTTCTCAAATAAGCACCGATGGCGCGGCAGGGATTGCTATTCCGGTGCCGTTCGGCGAGGAGGACTTCCAACATCCGCAGCTTAAGTTTGCGATTTGTTACTCTGGATTCAGGTCGCCTGGGGCCCGATATAGGGCTTTTTATGAGGAGCCTGCTATTCAGACGCCTGTGTTGCATGTGCTTGGGTCTTTAGATGCTCTGGTTGATGAGTCGAGGAGTCGGGCTTTGATCGAGGCTTGTGCTGGTGAGCCTGAGAAGGATGGGTTGGTTGTTTGGCATCCTGGTGGTCACTTCTTGCCGAGTCAGCGGCCGTATCTTGATGCTGCTGTGCGGTTTATTCGGGAGCAGATGGAGCGCAGCGATGGATCGAATGATAAGGGGAAGGAGGTGGAAGAGGATGTGAATGATATGGATTTGCCGTTTTGAGGATGAGGACTTTGTATATAGACAGACCTAGATCTTTGCTGGATTAGATTAGATTTTCTAGACCATGGTTACATGTAGCACATATAGTCCCTTGATAATAACGACTTGACGATTGCTACTGTTATGAGACTGAGACTGAGGTTGTGCTGTGTATGTGTCATATAAAGGTTAATGCTGCGACTTCACTACTCATGGGTCTACCGGCGAATGATTTTACGCGCGGTGGTAGTAATCCCCACACCCAAGTCCCATACACGCTTTCATCTCAAATCAACTCAATGCGCCTTGCCCATGTCGCTGCGAGTGGGCTGGATACGGGCCATCATCTCCTCCTTGGTGATCAGATGGTCGATCCGCTCGAGCAGACCCAGCAGATTCTTCATGTCGCTGCTCCACTCGTTCAGAACGTCATCGGCATCCCGGGGTTTGGCAAAGTTGACCAACCGCGCGGGTCGGTCAATCTTAGCGTAGATGGTCTTGGACGTGACCAGATCACTAATGTACTTCTCCGTCTCCTCCTCGGTCAGATCCAAAAGCTGGGTCAGACGGCCCATCTGAATGCGAGTGTAGTACTTGGCCACTACACGGACATTGTGCTCAATGACCCGCTTCCGCAGGTCTTTCCACCTCTGGTTTGCTTGGTTCTCAGTAGACTGCTTCGCCTCGGCATCGAACACGTCCGTGTTGCACAGGTGGGGTCCAAACTGCTCGGCAACCATAGGCCAGCGCATCAGCTCGGGAATGGTGAACAGCTTCAACAAGCGCGATTCCTCGGGAACTTGTGACAACCGCGAGTCTTGCTTGATACGGTGCAAGAGGTCGGATTGCTCATTATCGTAGGGAGATAGGACAACGTAGTACACAATGCGGGCAAGTGACTATAGATAAGTTAGTGGTGGTCTGCAGTTTTGAGATGGGAAAGGTTTGCGTACAGCACGCAGGTGCTCTGGGTTGTTCTCGACTGCTTCCGTGTCCAGGACTTCCCGGTAGTTCTTGCAAACCTCGAGATATTTGTTATCGTGGTTGGCCAAGATAATCTGCTGTTCGAAATAACGAAGCTTGAGATCTGTGACGTCGTCATCCACTTCCATGGGTGGCTCATCAGCCCCACGGGTCTTCTCTCGCTCCTCTGCCTCCTTCTTGAGTGTCTCGATCTGCTCAGCCGACTTCTTCGGCTTGCGGTTGAAGTACCGCTTGTTGATCTTGCGGCTGAGAATCTGAGCCTGGGTCCAGTCTCCGCGCTCAATACACAAAGAGACCTGCTCCAGGATGAATTCTGTCTTTTCCCGTCTCGTCATTGACCCAAATGTCTCCACCTGCAACTCGCACAGGATGTCTGCTGCGGAAGTAAGATCACCTTGAGTCTTCTTGATATTTGAAAGGATGCGGGTAACGCGGGCTCGCTCTACTTCAACGAAGATCTTTGCGACAATTAGCTCCACTCCGGTCAAGATCAAATTGTTCTCGGCGTACCTTTCCCTCAGTCACTGTGCGCAGAGTTTCGATAACAGACATCTTGACCTCCAGGCTAGGTGTCTCATCCAGGAATTTCATCACCGTCTGCACCATCTTCGTTGTGGCCTGCTTGAGTTGGGCATGTTTCTTAGATAGGAGCAGCACTTGGTCGTTCAGAAGGTTCCAGTCGCCGGAGTTCTTGCTGATGGTGACAATGGCAATCAGGAGTCGCGATGTAGTGGCAAGATCGGATGCCTGAATAAGAAATATTGATTAGTTTGGGTGGATCGGTAATGGGGATGGCACTGGGCGTCATACCTGTCTGGATTGCTTCTCCAGACCCAACAGCTTATCGACTGCTCCCTGGACATCGGTCTAAACCCACGTATGTTAGCATCGGCTTATATATGGATAAATAGTCTGGATATACCTTGGCGAGATCTTCGGCCTCCGGGATAAGCTTGTCAGCATCCTTGGTGAAGTCCTTCTCGGGCTTCAGCAGGCCGCCGGACATGATGACGAATGAGGCTGGGGGGCCGGTGTGTCAATTTAAAAAAAATTAATGGGTTGGGTTGGTAAAAAAAAAGTCTTTAAGCACGTTTGTTGTGCTTGACAATGTGAGATTCGTGGAATGGAAGAGGGTGATGGAGATGATGCTTGTAGCTCCGGTGTTGCGCGCCCTTACGAGCTGGAAGCTCTGTCCCACGTGACCGAAACATCACTTTGTCTTCCTGGACCTTCTACTCTGTACTTCTACTTATTTGGTACATTCCCAGAAATTATATTCAATCTCTTCTAGATAATGAAGATTTGGACTAGAAGAAATAATCTATATATTGTTGTCTGGTCCCGTTTTTCTGTTCCCAGAGTTAAAGATGCCATGAAGACCAATATAAGAGACTCTTAACCCAGATTTTAGCGCCATCTGACCAACTGTCAGAAGGCTACAGGCCTGTAAATAACAATATCGACACTAACTATAAACCGTGTAAATCTATATCGTAAGCCTGGGTGCAGCGGGACATGATTGTGCGTGGCCTTTGGATCACCAGATCGTGGTGTTTCCGGAAGACGGGTGTCTCTGTGCTTTCCATCCATGCTATACCTAGTAAGGATTAGTATAAATTCGAGCAGATCCCGAACTATATCTAGACAAGCACATGCTTACGAGGAGTTACGCATAGAATTTGAAAATATGACCAACAGAAGAGCGATTAGATTAAACAGTAAAAGAAACAGCAGTAGATGCGATATAACCGTTTCCACGAAACTAGAGTTCACGCATATCATCATCAAGTGGGGGGTTTGCATCCGGCTTGTTACACGGTATAGTGTGTTGAGAGCAGAAGATAAAGATGTCATTCCTAGAGAGTGGCTAGCTACTAATATTTAGGTCATCCTATAGCTTAAAGCGAAGAGTAAGGATATCAGACCATAGAAGTTCACATGCACGTCAGGCGCCTTCCGACTACTGACATAGACACCTTGTGTGAGGGTACTCATATCGTAGAGTATATCGTCGTTGAATAAACATAAATCCAAGGGCGTTATCACCGGCTGATTGTATATAGGGAAGTTGTCTTAGGTAGGATGTCAGCTTTCCTCTATCTTCTGCATTTTATGGCTAACCATTGTCGTTTTTCCAACTGTAATACTGCGACGAAGGAAAAACATTTGGAAGAACATCGTTCTTTTATCTTCTGATTTAACGCCCCCAATAATATTTGAGTCAAATGGATCGAATTTCCAAGTCACATCGTCAAGGATGGAACTATATTCTCGTGGGTATAAAGTTACAGACCACGCACATATTTTTATTTACACGGTCCACTAAGCTACTTTAGGTATCTATATGGCCTTACTTCCCGGCATCTGGAGTCACGTGATAACAAGCACGCAATTGCCTTTAACCGTTTTAGGCGATAAAGATGTATAGAAATTTTGGAAATAGTTGTGTGTCTGCTAGATTTGCTATATATGAGTCAATGGTGTAAGATCAAACCTCAAGGAATTTCGTCTGACTTCTGGATCACACTCAAATCAAATTTCAGGGCTTCCTGTCAATTGTGCCAGGATCACCCCCCACTTCGATATCCTTATCGCTCGTTATCACCAATCGTGACAGGCCTTTTACTCAGACTTGATATTCGCCGCTTTCTCCGCGGAAGTCTAGAAAGTCACTCCATTGGGTGCTCTGTTGGTTAAATACGAGCTTCAATTCTCTTGAATCCTCGGAACCCCAGAGCCTTCCGCAATTTGGTCTCTTTTACCCTTCTGAAACCGACATATATCTCATACTGATAGAGTCATTGGCGGGGCTTGATATTTCGTTCTACTATACTTCACCATGAAGGACGCCTCATGCGATCCTAGTTCACCCGCGCCATTGATGGCTGCGTGGAATACCGAATCACAAGTCCACTTGATTGTCGGTTCAAATCCTCTTGCCGCCGCTCGATGTGCGAGGAGCCTCGAGGTCGGCGCAACACCGATCATAATTGCGCCGGAAACAGATGACATGCATTCCACTCTATCCGAACACATTTCCAATGGCTCTGCCCAGTGGATTCGTCGTGAGTTTCAAGATAAGGACTTGACAACCCAGGGCAGAGAAGAAGTTGATCACATTGTGGACTTGGTCTTTGTCACTTTGGGTGGCAACAATTCACTAAGTAAGACCTGCTTGCACGATTCCCAAACCATTATTACTCACATTTCTTACTAGGCCCACACATATCGAAGCTCTGCCGGCGCCTCAGAATCCCAGTGAACGTATCAGATGCCCCCGAACTATGCTCCTTCACCCTACTTTCCACCTACTCAGACGGTCCCCTTCACATTGGAATCACTACTTCCGGCCGGGGGTGCAAGCTTGCGTCCCGGCTGCGGAGGGAGATTGCTGCTTTCCTACCCCAAAACCTCGGAACGGCCATCGACAGACTTGGTGCTGTGCGGAGGCGGCTTTGGGAAGAGGATAATGCTGCTGGGCTAGTAGAAGGGATATTTGACAGAGAGGACGACGATAGTACAGGCCAAAAACACACTTTCAACAACTTGGTCACAGAAAGCGATGCTGCCGCCGCGAAAACAAGAAGAGTGCGTTGGCTGTCCCAGATCTGTGAATACTGGCCTCTCCGAAAGCTCGTGTCCATCACCGATGCCGATATGGATGCCATCCTGGAGGCCTATACATCTGGCAATGCCACCACAAATGGGACAAATGGCCTTGATACACCCTCAAAGAAGGGGAAAATAGTCCTCGCGGGCTCTGGCCCCGGTCATCCAGACCTACTCACCCGCGCCACCTACCACGCAATCCACAGCGCCGACATCATCCTCGCAGACAAGTTGGTCCCCGCTCCAGTCCTCGACCTGATCCCTCGTCGAACGGAAGTTCATATCGCACGCAAGTTCCCTGGCAACGCAGACCAAGCGCAGGAAGAATTCCTCGTGATGGGTCTGGCAGCTTTGAAGCAAGGACGGCAAGTCCTTCGCTTAAAACAGGGAGACCCATATCTATATGGGCGTGGAGCGGAAGAGTTCGAGTTTTTCAGGAAGGAGGGCTATTCCCCGGTCGTGTTGCCGGGTATCACCAGTGCTATGAGCGCGGCCCTCTTCGCCGATATTCCTGCAACCCACCGCGGTGTCTCCGACCAGGTCCTCGTGTGCACAGGAACCGGCAGAAAGGGAGCTGCTCCAAACCCTCCCACCTACGTACCTACCCAGACTGTGGTCTTCCTCATGGCTCTTCACCGGATTTCTGCTCTTGTGGAGTCCCTCACTACCTTCCCCGCCGGAGACACCGGTTCGCAATCACGCACACTCTGGCCTATGGAGACACCCTGTGCGATTGTTGAGCGGGCATCGTGCCCAGATCAACGTGTCATTCGCTCAACATTAGAGCACGTCTGCTTGGCGTTTGAAGAGGCAGGGTCGCGACCACCAGGATTGCTGGTGGTTGGTGCTAGTTGCCACGTGCTGCACAATCCCCAAGGCCAGCGATGGGTGATTGAAGAAGGCTTCCATGGACTGGATGAAATCCGCAGTGAAGTGGATGCGGTCGCTGTGTCAGTTGACGAGAAGCAGTGATTCAACCTTTTTTATATATATATTTCCGAGTGATAGTTACCAACTGTGGAGCGCAGTGTATATAGACAGCATTCAGATACCCCTAGAAATGAGATATGTATGATCATTGAAGAATATCATTATTTGAAAACAAAATTAGTGTCTTGAAGCACATATACATAGACGACTGGTATGTTGTATGTATACGATGTATGTTGTACACACACCTACACGGAGGAAAAAGGAAAGGGTGCGGCTATAAATTAGTGGACCCCGGCCCGGCCATGTTGATCACTCCACCTCATTCACATCTTCAATTCTGACAACCATCCTTTCCCACAACCATGTCTGCCAGACCCCAGAAGCCAGTCTATTTCTCCAACGGGGAGGCTCTCCAGAGGTGATTTTCTCCTTTCCTGCAATTACCAGAGACCCCAACCGCTGACCACCGCGCCCACAGCCCCCCGTTCAACGTGCGTCTCACCCGCTTTGTCGAGAGCGTTTACTTCTTCCTCGGCCTGTACTTCACTACCCTCTTATCGGTAAGTATATCTTGCAAGCGTTATTACCTGCGACACCTTATTTCTATTTTACTTCTTGTTTCAGCCTGTTGCTCTTTGATATTCCGCAAGTGGATCAATCTGACCTATTTCAGCTCGACTCATACGCCGCCGCTGAGAACTCCTCTTTTAACGTCAAGAATCAGAGCAATAAGTATACTACTCGCTCTCGCTGGGGAGGCAGCACAACCTCATACGGTGGGGGTGGTGGAGGAGGTGGAGGAGGTGGCGGCGGTGGTCCGGGATTCGGTCCGCGACGCCTGGGACGTGTGGATGATGTTCGTGGGCCGGAGTGCAAGAGCTGTCAATAAGCGAACAGTCAAAGCGATTTGAACCGCTGCTCCAATGTAGCACGAAGGAGACAAAATACGTTAATGGACCAAGACGTCGGGTTTAGGGACCTTCAATTTGTTGTCTTTTTCAGCCGGGAAGCGCCATATGCATCCTGTAATGCACTCTTATATTCAGCGGAACCTTGTATTTTCCTAAAATAACCTTCGAGATATACATATACTACAAGTTGATACTCGCCCATTAAACTTGATATATCGCCAGTATTTACCAAAAGCGCAAGCCCCAAATACACACACTAGTCCCTTAGCGCCACAACACCGCCCCTTCAAGGTCACATCGTGTCAATATGAATCACGGGTCGTCATGATGATCCTAGAAGCGCCACGTGACAGCCCCTCTTCCCCTCTATGCCAAGTGTAGTAGGCGACCTGAACACATTCCTAGAAGTAGTCTCTAACTACTCCGAGGGCGTGCTCTCTAGCCGAAGGCACACCACACCGACCGCCCAGCATGAGTGAAATCCCATCAACAGACGCCGAATGGGCGGAAAAGATAGCCAACATGAAGAAGCAGCTGCCGAAACGCTCACTTTCCCAGCTGCCAATTCCAACACAAATCAACCGCACAATAGATCACACCCTCCTAACGACCCCAATCGACCCCACACAGATCGACACTCTGTGCAAAGAAGCCCTTGAATACGACCTTGCCACTGTATGCGTACGACTTGAGCACGTCGCCCGCGCAGCAAGCCACGTCAAAGGAACCAACACAGGGCTCGCGTGCGTGGTCGGGTTCCCGGAGGGCACGCACCCAACAGCCGACAAAGTGCGCGAGGCCAAAGAAGCCGTGGCGCAGGGCGCCACCGAACTCGACATGGTGATCCGGTACAACCTGCTGAAAGAAGGCCGGTACACGGAGGTGTACGAGGACGTTCGTGCGGTGCGCAACGCAGCGCCGCGGCCAATTGTCCTGAAGGCGATCTTAGAAGCCTCTGTGCTTGAGAAGGATCAGATTATCGATGCGACGATCGTGTCGTGCATGGCGGGCGCGGACTATATCAAGACAAGTACGGGCTGGAATGGCGGTGCGAGTGTTGAGCAAGTTACGCAGATGCGCATTGCGGCGAGTATGTGTGGGTGCACGTGCTTGATCAAGGCTAGTGGTGGTATACGCAGTGCTGCGGATCTATTGCGTATGCTTAAAGCTGGAGCGCAGCGTATTGGGACTAGTGCTGGGGTTAAGATTATGAAGGAGATTGATGAGGGGGAGGCTCTTGAGCAGGGATGTAGTCATGCCGTGGCTTGAGTTTTCCTGAGATCCCTCGCAATATGTCGTGTGCGGATGGGTGTGTGGTTGGAGGTGGAGCTTTCATAATGGAGATTGAGAGATATCTGCTTCTTTTTTTTAACCGTTCGGCAGTACTCTATGGTGCTAACATAATGTGCATCCATTAAGTCATTACTATTTTGCTCTGGACCAAATATCTCCGTATATGGTAGCTGTATAGATACATGTGTATCGACCCCCTGCGTATAGATCCGACGGGAGGGGAACGTTGTGAGCAGCAGGATAAGAACCTGGATGATATACAAGGTTTGAGACCTTGCTAAATGGCCATTGCCATAGAGATATGTCCTTGGTGAACGAAGAGAGAAGCTTGCAGAGCTTCTCTGAGACAATTGGACCCATCCTTGCGCATCTTGCCGTAGGAGCCCTGCATTACCGTTATCCCTTTGGGTTTGCCTCGTGAACACGACCCACTAGGAAATGAGACCATCCCATCTAGGGTAGATTTGATATCATTTTATTAAAAAGCTTTTTATGTGAGACCCTTGTTTCTAGAGTGAGATAATTATTGAAAAAGTGTAGCTCATAGAGTTGGACATAGGGGGCCTGAGCCATTGTCCAATGTAATGAACATAGGGTTAATGGCTCGTCTATTCAAAGACATAGATGAGAACCACCTCAAGGCTATACGAGAGAAACATTTATGAAATTGAAATACACTCATATGCATAGTCATGAACGTGGCGGACATTTTTATTATTGACCTGAAAGCTCCAAAATGGTATAGTATATACTAATCCAAAACCGTGCGCCGATCCATTGACATGCCAACTAAAAATCCAAAGCTTTTTTTTATTCATCGCTCTGATCATCCGAATCACTGGTCACAGCACCATCAATGTCCATCTTTTGAATGACGGCATCACCATTGCGACCCTTCTTCTCTGCAGCGAGCCAAGCTTCCCGCTTCTTCGTCTCGTGCTCCTGCTTCCTTGCTTGCCGCAGGACCTTCTCCTGCTGTGCGGCCTCCTGCTTCTCATGCAACTCATTGATGTAATCCTGCAGATTGGCGAGTTCCGAGCGCAGCTGTACGACTTCATCGTCCGCATTATGGCGAGCAGTCTCATTCACCGCAACCTTCTTCTTGAGCACAGACACCTCGTTTTCTAGCTCGGTAACCTGCGAATCGCGGGCAGCGGTGTCTTCCGCGGTTTCCCTGGCGGGCGCGGTGCTGGATGCAACGCGGGTAACTTCCACATTACTAGGCTGGCGGAGTGCCGCGAGCTCTGCAAGACCATCTTCGATCATGGAGGTGGGGAAAAGGAGTGAGTAAGCGCCTGGGAGAATTGGGTTGGTTTGCGGGAGTCGGATGGGCCGGTGATCTGCGTGTGGAACATATATTCTGCGGGGACGGCGCCAGGGGCATGGTGCGGGGCCGAAAGGCCACTATCATGGCGCGGCTTGACGATGGTGTGGGCCTTTCTCTTCAAATCCGAGGAAGGGTGAGGGATGCCACCTGGAGGGAGCATGACCAGGTTGGTGATCGGGTGCGTGTAGTCGGCAACTGATGTTGTATACTTTCGTCGTGCAACATTCCAGGACAGTACCTTGCCATTCGCGTGGCCCGAGAGTAACGTGGTCCCGTCATATGTAAGGGTGATTGTCTTCACTGAGCCTGTCTCAGCCGAGGGAGGGAGCCACCGATCCTCCATTGACACCTGTGCAGGTGTCGATTGTACTGAAGGATCGTGAAGAGGATGCTGCACAGACTGGCTTCGGTAGAAATCTACTGATTGCACGCTGCCATCTTCATATCCCACGTAGAAAGCCCGGTCAACCGGGTCTAGAGCCACTGATGTTGCGGATAAGGGAAGGAGGAAGGTTCTCAGCGCACGGCCGGTGTGATAGTCCCATGCGATTGCAGTGTTGTCTTTCGCGGTCGATACGACGATGTTATGGCGGCCATTGCTATGTCCTACAGCAAGAGAGGTGATACCGGCGCGGTGGTTGGAGAAAGTTCGGATAGGCGAGTTCGTGGGTTGGCGAGTCGCGCTAAGAGCGGGTTTCGAGAACGAGAGAATTCCAGGCAAGGACCAAACATGTACACTGGCATCAGCGGAGCCGGACAGAATAAAGTTGGACGTGGGGTCGACGACGAGTGAGGTCACTGGTTGCAGATGGGAGGCCGTGGTGGCTACTTGGCGTCCTGTGCATGTCTTGAAAAAACTGTTAGACGCATGACATAGGGAACGTATGAATCATATCCAACATACCTCCCAGATAATTAATCGACCACCCTCGGTGCCCAAAACCAAGACATCACCATACTTGCCCCCCGCGACAGCAATGCTACGTATCCGCTCTGGAAATGGAACAACACCCTCTTGGTTACCCTTATCCCGGTTGTACACGTGAATAACAGCCTTGTCTGCTTGGGCCGTGAAAATATGTGAGGGGCTGACCGCCAGACAATTGGTTAACGTTGAGCTCTTCTTGAAAGTTGATCGCAGTATCGACGAAGGCTGCAATTCGTGAACGCAGACTCCTACATCTCTGAGTGAGGCTGTCGGAGATTTAGCGGATGACACCGTCGACGCCACAAATGATTCGGAAAGCATCAGGAATGGAAGAATGAGGCTGTCATCCAAAGTATGGGAGGTTGGTTTCGAAGTCGGTCATTCCGAGCTTTTTTTTTCTCTATCGATTGATAACGAGATGTTTGCACTGTTTGGACTACAATCTCCGGCCTCCAGCCCTTGAGAACATCGATGGGCGGTGTGTGATCTATCTTAACCAATTTGCCTTTGTAACTAATGCAACCTTCTAAGGATATCTCCGATTTGTCTTCAAAAATAGACAGGGCGATCGTTTCAAATGCATCTATCAACTAATTGTGCCGTGTTTTATATTAGCTCCGCCGGGAGTACGATCTATCATTCTTAGTCAGCCCCATCTGGGTCGACTGAGCTCTGCAAGTATGAGGGATCATCTTGCGCCAGTCTATCAATCGAAATGATTGCTGTTTTGTCAGGTTATTCAAACTCGAATTGGTTGCCCAGGCCGATCAATCTAAGCCCTCCCCAGGCATTTATATACAAACCTCCATAAATTATGCTGATATGTACAATAACACCAGTATGAACCAGATGCATGCAAGGGATAGGCCGGAAGGGGTGGATTGCTGTTGCGACGAGACACAAGATTCAATGGAGACCCGCTTTAATACACCCTCTGGCTGATCCTGTTGCCCTTTACAAGTGCCTGATTCGCCATGGCTCCTTTCTCCTCCCTCTTGCATCGCAAATGTCTCATTCCAAGTGCCCAGTCGGAACCTGGCTATGACGACTTGAGGCAACGGATGGGCCCTCTCCACGTTGACGGGCTCCCGCAGGACGAAAGATTGAGATCTGGAGCCAGTTGTTGCTCGTCGTTGTCCTGGTTTCTCATCTTCTTTGGAATGCAAGGACGACCCGACCTCATTCCCACTATTATTACTCTGGCCCGTGCCTAGCACAACCTGACTGCAAGTGTTCGTGCCAGGCGACGGGCCCTCTTTTCATGCTCGAAGGGGGAATTGTTCCGTTGAACATTTTCGGGCTTTCATGGCAGGGTTGTAGTCCTGTCAAGGGATGTGCACTTGAGCCTGATGACCATACCCACCTTAAATTAGCTGACTAGCGCCACAGTCACTGTATAAGGACATATCGAGCCCCTTGAGGTCCATTTGTTTTGACTTCAACAATAAACAATCTGGATTGCAATCTCATCTGGGTTACTCTTGTCCAACACATTTGCTTTTTTCCTCGACCTTTCAGACTAGGTAACTTACTTTCAGCCGCGACTACCATTGTCCAATATGGACTCTGGTGCGACAGAGATGCGTAACCATGCCTGTTTTCCGGCCCGGATCCAAACCCATATAAAAAACCAGGGCTCAAACTCGTCCTCGATGAGCCACGATGTGATGGGGATGGCTGAGCCCATTCCATCCCCGCGACGATGGTCTCCCACCTACATACCCCGAAGACGAAGCAGACAGATGCCCTCACTATCATTTATACCGTCCCCAGTAATGCCGCGCATAGAGTCGCATGACTTTTCGAGCTCATCATCGCGGCGCCCCACAGATCGGGGGCCAGCTTGCATGTCACCCTTCCGCTCGGTTCGAAGAATGAAAGAACCATTTCAATTAATGCTTCCGACATCCCCGGCGTCCCTCGATGGCCCTCCCCCCAATTTTCCTGAAAAGGCAAACAAGCCATCGAAAGCGCCGGCCGATCACACATTACGAACATGGCGCTCAGACCAAAACCTGACTTGTGGGAGCTTGGAAACATTCGGCCTTCTACCCAGCCCGCCTATATCAGAATCACGCCCCGCAAGCACGGGTCCTGAGTTATCTTATTTTGATTCGCAGTCTTCGGAGGGATCAGGTCAATCAAGTGGGGGGAAGGACGAGAAGAATGAGTCTGGTACCACTCAACCGAATGTTTCTACCACGGCCGCCACACTGGCAATCGGGGAAAGGACACAGTACACAGCGTACCGTCCCCCAGACTGGAACAATCAACCGCGAACAGATGTCATGAATGTTCATGAAGCCCACTCAGAGTTTGTACGCCAGTGCGAGTCTGGCAATGAACAGGAGTCGCAACCCCAATCTCCGAATAAGCATGCATCTTCCCAAACATCCCCGAAATCGGTCCATACCGAGCAAGTTCTTGTTCCTGGGAGCTCACCGAGACCCCAACGCTCTCGGACTGGGACAGCATCGAGTGAAGCGAGCTGGGTGCCAAGTAACTTCTCGTACTGTGAAAGGTGGTTGCAAGGTGTCCCGGTTGACAAGGTGAATGACCATAATACGTCTACCAAGGAGTTCACCAATCGGCGGAAGTTCCAGATTGTCGAGAACGATCACCCAATGCCAAAACTGGACATCATCCCTGGAGCAAAAGCCCTGGAAGAACCTGTGGTAAGTCAAACAATTTATTGCTGTGAGATACGATTGAAAGCTGACCCTCTGATAGAGATTCGTCGTCGCTAGCAAGACAAAACCGAAACTTGTCGACATTGCTAGACAATCATCGCCATCGCCTCCACTGCTTCCACCGCCCTGCTTACTTCCAAACACCGTACCGACAACCCCCGATCAGCGCCAAGAGGAAGTATCCGCATTTAGCCCGGATACTCCTCTTGATATGTCTGATAGTGGGTATGGAACTCGGGATTCTGGCTATTCATTTGATAGCTATGATGATAGCAAAGTTGATGATGACGACGATGCACTTACCGATCCAGGGTCATTGACATCTTCCGACAGTGTCGGATCAACCGTGATATGCGAGAGGCACGAATCCGCGCAGGGAGAGCGCGAGGCAAGCCCACAACCTGAAATCAGATCGGGTAGTGTCAGCCCAAAGGCATCATCACCACCAACAACGCATTCACCGGGACGGGCGTCTATCATTTCCGAAAAAGAGGATGAGAAACCACGCATATGGCACCATGACTGGACGCTGGACGATCATGAATGGACCTTGGATGAGCTGGACCACTCTGTCAAGGATTTCCCACGTCATATGCTCCGCCTCGCATCCCCTGTCATGGTATTCCTTCGCAAAAACGACGAGAAGGCCCTCATCAGACCCTTCCGAACTATATTCCCCGATGTAACAGAGAACCTACTCGACTGCCTCTGTGCTGCCCTCCTCGCTCGAAACTACCTCCTTTCTCTATCTACCCTCCGAACCAAGTCGCCCGTCTCTTCGCGTAAAGACGCATACGCCATCGACGGCGTCCCCAAAAAGGCATACACCACACTAGGCATCCAGTTTCCAACTGGGTCTACTAGCAAGCCCAAAGAACCCCCTTTCAGCGCTCGCAGCACGGAGCTCCAGACACACCTGGAGCGAATCGTGGACAACCTGCTATTCGCCATTTGTGGCCGATCTGATCCTATTTTGAAATCAGCTGTTGAAGTTCTCGCTCAAGTTCTTGAAACCACTGTTTCGCATTGATCACTCCTTGGATCTTCCATTTCCTTGCCTCTATTGATCATATTCTCTCGCTATCCTGACTGAAGTCTGTCCTTCTTTTCCATCCCTCCTTGTGAAATTCTTTCCTGCACTCTTCTCCAAGAACCCTTCCAACTGCCTTCTTACCGTCTCTCTTTGTTATCTCCTTTCATATCTTTCTCCCTACCCTTACTCGCTCTGATCCTTGAGTTCTCTTTCTCCTATTTGTTTACGTATGCTCTCTTTCTCTATCTCATGTCCTTCTATTCTATTTTGCCTTTTTTTTTCATACCCTTGCATCGCGCGGTCCTTGGAACTTTGTTTGGTAAATCTTTGCGTTGGGGGTCAAGCACCTATAGTTCGTGTTTCAGTAGCATAGCAACCATAATAATAATGGCATAATCAACCAGCATTCAAAGCTCCGATCATACATAGAAAAGTTCTCTCAAATTCTATGCCTTTCAACGCCTTTTCATTTTCCCATATAATACTGAGAAGAGGGAAAGACATGAAGAAGATATCGTAGTCTTTATTTCCAATACAACGTCAAGTTTAGAGGTCACATACGCGATAGACCTTTCTTGTAGTGTCATAAGCATTATTCCAACTTCAAACGTCACTTTGTTGTTTTATTGCCAATCGACATACAATACTTTCCCGTCCGATTTAATGCGGCGAAATGGCTTAGTCATACTTTTCCGCGGGATCCTCTGCCCAGACAAACTCCAGTTCGGCTTTCTCCGATTTCACATAGCATATACTCACACATCATGGCAGCTCCAACCAGAAGTCTACGACGCCTGTCGTCTTTCAGAACCACCATATCCCCAGCCTCGACAGTAATTGCTCCCATCGGCCGCCGAAGCTATGCCACAACCGACTCCTCATCCGCCACGAACACACCAGGAACCACACGGCGGAGAGCAACAAAGTTCCAGGATAAGCTGAATGCTGGACCCTCATTCTCAGACTTTGTTTCAGGAGGTCAAGATGAAGCTCTCGACCCATCGGAAGCCTACGCCCTTAAGACCGCGCTTGTCGGCCCCGCCGGCCGCAAGAAGGAAATGACTCGTTTGCCCGAATGGCTGAAGACTCCCATCCCAGACTCAAAGAACTTCCAGCGTCTAAAGAAGGATTTGAGAGGATTGAACCTGCACACCGTCTGCGAGGAGGCCCGATGCCCCAACATCTCCGACTGCTGGGGCGGCAGCGACAAGTCCTCCGCCACAGCGACAATCATGTTGATGGGTGATACCTGCACGCGCGGGTGCCGCTTCTGCAGTGTCAAGACATCCCGCACGCCTTCCCCGCTCGACCCGCATGAACCCGAGAATACCGCCGAGGCCATCTCCCGCTGGAGCTTGGGATACGTGGTGCTGACGAGTGTGGACCGTGACGATCTGGTAGACGGCGGCGCGCGCCACTTCGCGGAGACAGTTATCAAAATCAAACAGAAGAAGCCGAGTATGTTGGTCGAGTGTTTGACCGGTGACTTCCGCGGTGACACCGAGATGGCGGCAGTGGTTGCGCGGTCTGGACTAGACGTCTATGCGCACAATGTTGAGACTGTTGAGGAGCTTACGCCCTTTGTCCGTGACCGCCGCGCCACGTTCCAGCAGTCTATTCGTGTGCTTGATGCTGCGAAGAAAGCTGTTCCGGATCTTGTTACGAAGACTTCGCTCATGCTCGGTCTCGGTGAGACGGATGACCAGCTCTGGGATGCCTTACGCCAGCTCCGCGCTGTCAATGTCGACGTCGTCACTTTTGGTCAATACATGCGCCCTACGAAGCGTCACATGGCTGTCCATGAATACGTGACCCCCGATCGCTTCGAGCTGTGGCGCCAGCGTGCCCTTGATATGGGCTTCTTGTACTGTGCCTCGGGCCCCTTGGTGCGAAGCAGTTACAAGGCTGGCGAGGCCTTCATCGAGAACGTTCTCAAGAAGCGTCGTGCTGACTCTGCCACCGCTGAGCGCACTGTCGATCAGAGCGTTGCTGCCACTGACGAGGCTACCCAGTGAGGTGTCTTGCATTTGAACAAAGATCCTATTCAAATACCTAAATAAACCTGTTTTCTTGTCCTCTGACTACATACACATGTCACTAACCTCTTGGCGCTATTTTTCTTGCATCTTTCTGGGTTGTCGGTTTTGGGGGTTTTATAAAGGGGATTTTTCGCTGGTTTTGTCATTTCAACAGTCCCAACATTTCAACACAGGAATTGTACTTTGTATCATCATTGAAGTCGTTCGTGGCCTATTCCTGTTTGTTCCTAATTCCAAGTTGCACTAGAAATTAATTCAGTGCTGCTTTTCTCATATCACGTCTCAAAATGTCATAGATCATGGTCTGAGCCTGCTCCGTTCCCCAATCCAACTACATCCCGCCTCCAAGGTGAACCCGCCACACGTAGGAATATTGACAAAATCCACACGCTATACAATGATTCCATGCTCTGCCCTACGCCCTACCCAGCACAGCCATATACTCTGTTAAAATGTAAGGACCGACATAAACTCCATAACTCTTCAACACAAGGAAATCTCCAAGTCGAGCCCTGCAACCAGCTGTGGACGCCGTTCCGGGCTACACTTTTTGGAGGGGTATATGTAATCCAAGAAGTTAGATCTGAGGGCAAGATTCACACACAAGTGCATACTCTACTCAAAACTAGCGCATCGCCTGTTTAGGTACTCAAGGGCTTATTGCGCGTCAGAGGTCAGCTCTGCGATGTCCTCGTTGTCCATGCCGAGAAGGTAGAGGACATCGACAAGGCTCTCGCCGTTGATGCGGACGGGAGCCTCCAACTGGACCTTGGACTTAGCGCGCCAGGCGACGCCAAGGCCTGCAGCGTGGAGCATGAGGAGATCGTTGGCGCCATCGCCGACAGCCAGTGTTTGCGAAAGGGGGATGCCGTGCTCGGCAGCGATGGACTTGAGGAGAGTGCGCTTGTGCGCGGCGTCGACGATGGGGTAGGATGGCACTAATTTCCCGGTCAGGGTCTGGGTAGCCTCGTCGATTTCGAGCTGGGTAAAAGGTCAGATCGGAGGAGCAAAATAATATGATACAGGAGATGCTTACGTGGTTGGCAATGGCAATGTCGATACCGAGCTGCTCGGCGAGCCACTCGGCGAGCGGCTGGAATCCGCCGCTCACCACGGCGATCTTGTAGCCCAGAGTCTTCAATGCGCGGCAGAGCTCACGGGCGCCCTTGGCGATTTTCAGAACGGACTTGAGCTTCTCGAAGACATCTGATGAGACGCCGTTGAGAAGACCAACGCGTTCCTTCAATGACGCGGTAAAGTCTAGTTCGCCGTTCATGGCGCGTTCAGTAATTTCCTGCGTTCATGTTAGTCACTGGTATAGAAGTTTGAAGACTTGACAGGAAGAACTTACAGAAACCTCCTTCTCAACACCGATGAACTTGGCGATTTCGTCAATGCACTCATTGTCAATCAAGGTGCTATCCATATCGAAAACAGCCAGGCGCTTGTGCCGACGGAAGACGCTCTCCTTTTGCAAGACAACCTCGACATTCCACTCGCGCTCAAAGCGCCAAATGCTCTCATGCTTGCGCAGATCTGGGAACGAGAGATACTCCGGATTTGGTGGGGGGGAGAATGTGACCTCTACGACACGGGGGTGTTCGTCGCGGTCAAGACAGCGGTGCGAGGTGTTCATGCGCTGGTAGGGAGTTGGGAGGGTTTCCAAGATCTGAAGGAAGTTGGTCAAGCACAGCTGAGAGACGTATGGGCCGTACAGGTGATCCAGTGGCTCCGGCTCCGGAGCAGGCGGCTCCCGCGGGAACTTATCCATGTCTTCTGTCGGGGCAGAGCCTTCGGGCACCTTGGGAGTTGGGAGCCTGTCGCCTGGGGCATTCTGGGGCCCTGAGTCGGGGTGGAAGTGGGGGTGAACGGGGTTGTTAGATTTGTAGTAGATGGTCGCGACGATTTGCGACGTGCCGGTTGGAAGAGGGTTTGCTTGGTGGTTGAAAATGCTGTGAATGATGCCGCTGTCAGTGACCCTCTCCGGGTCTGGCTTGATTGGATTCGAGCTAAGGACCAGGTGATCGTCCACCTGGTGAGCCAGAACCTCGCCGATGGTTTGACTGATTGAGTTGATTGGAGCCATCGGCTTGTACTGCTGGTGGTCCTGCAGGAATGAACTGCTGCGCATTTGGCCGAGGGATGGCCTCGTGGTGCGGGTAGAATCTGGCATAGTGAACTACTAGCGAAGGGATCTGGTAGAGACTTATTTGCGAGTCGAAGCTATCTTGAGAGATCCCACACTTCCGAAGATCACAAAAGACTTGCGCCGATCGGCACGCGGGACTCGGTCCCCACCAATTCACGTGATGTCGGCACCCTCTCACGTGTGCTACCGCCTGGCAGAATCGATAATGAGGCTGATAGAGATGGACAACATCCGGGAATAAGATGAGCTCAATTTTGCGACAAGCACCTCCTCCAGATCCATCATGACTTCAGAGTATGACGATTCTATTCATGAATATAACAATACATTGTCTAATCGATGTACTCCGTACATAGTATGACAACCAAGGTTCCCCTATCGGGTATGTCCAGGTTTATTGGTGATTAAGAAACCTGCTAATTATATGATGTAGGAAGATCCACCCCTTGGAAGAATACTCCCAATGATCGGAGTTATTTATCATCGACCGGGTTGGTCAGCGTCAATTACCAATATCTGGGGGGGGGTAACCCTTCCAAGGTTGGTATCAATAAGCTACGACCCTAAATAATCACATTCTATGCCATTCTGTCCAAGAATGGGCAGAATCGACTTCGATATTCTCCTGGTCTGACCCTACAACGCCCTGTCATGACCACACCGCCTTCTAGAAATGACATTGTCTCTACTTTGGGAAGGCGGTGAGACAAACGAATTTGAGCACGCAATCGCCAACGATGGCGTGCTTGGGTGGTTTTCATTCCCCACTCTGGCGACTGACCAATTGAATCATTGTCTCGTCAAAATGAAGAATATCGGAAGAAGAGTATGCGAGAAACGGATCCCCGGATGATGTGATTGCCCTTGCTGTTCTTATATTCTCGCCCCGATTGTCCTCTGGAATTTTGTTCTTCATACTTCCACCCTTCAATCTCTTCATACATATAATACTCCAATATCTTCTCCGTCAAGGTCATCTCTGTGCCATCTATACCATATACCACCTTACACTATGCCGGCCAAGATGCCCAACAACTACTCTTCAGAGATGGAGGGCATTGACAACCATGATGCTATGACCGAGTCAGGCTATGTCAGTGCTGGCTCTGGCTCTAGCGAGGAATATGTCCCCGAGATTGTTTTTACCAAGCCCCATCTTCAGTTCCTCAACCGCCAGTTGCAATTCCTTGAGCCCCAAGGTTCGTACTGATGATATCCACAATGACCCCTCTTTCCGAAGACCCTTTATCTGACTCCTCCTTATAGAGATCTTGAAATGGTGCATTACTTCGCTTCCCCATCTCTTCCAGACCACTGCCTTTGGTCTCACAGGTCTTGTCACCTTGGACATGCTGTCAAAGCTGGAGGTGCCTCGTCCCCAGATGGTTGATCTCATCTTCCTCGATACTCTGTACCACTTCGATGAGACCATGTCCCTGGTCGACCGTGTGCGTCGCAAGTACCCCAACAACAATGTGCACATCTATAAGCCCGCTGGTGTCGACACCACTGCCGAATTCGAAGCTAAGTACGGCACCAAGCTCTGGGAGGTCGACGACCAACTCTACGACTGGGTCGCCAAGGTTGAGCCCGCTCAGCGTGCCTACCGTGAGATGAATGTGCACGCCGTTCTTACTGGCCGTCGCCGCAGCCAAGGTGGCAAGCGTGGTGACCTCGACATCATCGAAGTCGACGAGGCCGGCCTCATCAAGATCAACCCCATGGCCAACTGGTCTTTTGACCAAGTCAAGCAGTACGTTAAGGAGAACGATGTTCCCTATAACGAGCTCCTCGACCGTGGTTATAAGAGCATTGGTGACTGGCACTCTACCCAACCCGTTGCTGAGGGAGAGGACGAGCGGTCTGGTCGCTGGAAGGGACAGCAGAAGACTGAGTGTGGTATTCACAATCCTCGGTCCAAGTACGCCCAGTACTTGATGGAGATGGAGCTCAAGCGTCAAGAGGAGGCTCTCTCACAGGCTTTGCACACCCAGTTGACGCCTGCTGTCTGATCTTTTCTTTTGACTCCTTCCACCGCATACCCCTCGGCGTTCCTCCTGTGATACCTCTCTGTTTTTTCCTCTGTTTTTCAAGCGGTTTCTTCTTCTCTAGAGATGGTACAAAAAGTACTCTTTGCATTCATATCCTCCCTGCACAGGGAGTCGAGTTTAGTTCTCAGGCCCACTATGGCAATTGTTTGAGACATGATAATGATATTCATATGATAAATGAAATAAAAAATTCATATTATTAGAATCCACTCCATTTCCATACATGTAAATATGTTGCAATAGCTCAAAAATCCTTTTTGGTCCTTTCATTTGTGTTGGCAGGGACAGTCACGTGTGGTGCCAACCCTAGTTTTCTCCCGATCCTCAGGCACCATGGCATCACCGCTGATCTACACAACAGATACCTGAATAGTGATTGGATAGTATTTTATCTTTCAAACATCTAGGCGACTTAGTTACATGGCGACAGAAAGTAGAAAACATGCCACTAAAACATACCGCTGGCACCATCAAATCTAATGATCTTATGTAATCCATCGCATTTTCTAACCTGAGTCTCTTTGTATATTTAAGTAAACGCTTAATGCCTTTATTTCGCGGAATAGGATAATAAAGAGAGCGGCTCACACGATATGTTGTCAAAGGTAGTCATTCTACTAGTAACTCCAAGTACGACTGCGAGTCGGAGTGTCACTAACACAGAACTTATTGCGACCTACAATACCGCGAAAGGCTCCAATATTTAGTAGATTGGCGGATACAAAACCCGCTTGATACAGAGGGTGGCTGTTGTTGAATTGTGTATATGCGAAGTGTAAAGACTTGATGTCGAGTTGACTGACCGCGCCACGTTGGATATCAAAAGAATTGATTCCAAATATCGTAGATCGATATAAACAGAAAAAAATACTAAGGAGCCTCCAAACTCAATAATAAATATCAGCCGCACATTCCAGTCCGTGAGCCTCAGCGTTCGCGCTTTGACATTCCATTGAGCAATATGAAACTTGCAAGCACCGAGTACATGGATGCAGGGGCTTATCCATCGACGGAGTAAACCCACAATTCTCACAGGTCATCTCAACATTCTCGACACCGCTATCTGGGAGATCATACATAGCCATAGCTTCCACTAGGGCCCTGCTCCACTTCGTCCAGCACGCCTCGGCAATGCGAAGCTCTTCAGCGGTAGTGACCGCAACGTCACACAGCTCGCGTCTGATGCCAATTGCCTGGCACCTACGGGAAACAGCTTGCGCGAGGCTCTCATCGGTTGTACTCCAGGTAAACGGCGCGAATGGTTCCATGTTGCTCCCCATCTGAGGAATTGGGCCCGGCTCATCGAATCGGTTGACGAATGCCTCCAATAGCAAAGGTACAATGATTTTGGCCTGGTCTTCAGGCGACAGAGGGGAGATTCGGGACCGGCCCTCGCATTCATGGTGGCTGTTGTATGGATTTGCGAAGAACACAGCTTCGCCTGGGACTCCGGGTAGAGCCTTCACGGCGAAATGGTAATGGTTGCGTCTTCCGGATGCATCCCGCTCCGGGCGCTGGAGAGCATTGAAGCTCTGTAATTGCAAGGTAGTAACACTTTCCATTGTTGTGATAATGGCGAAAAAAGGAAGCCGATGATGTTTCGAATTCTCCGAATTTTGTTGCGTTCAATTAGCTTGGATGATGATCCACAGGTGGAAAGTCTTGGCGCTCCGCGGACGAACTGCCATCTTTCATGCTTCATCTTTACTTTTGAGAGCCTGTCTCACTTGAAAGGCTGCAAAGACGTCCTGAAATTTTGGCATCACGATGTGGTTAAGTCGTCAAATGGTCCCTAATATTGACAGGGACACATATCAGGCGCTAATCCTGCACCACTCATTGGGCGCCTCTAGGTGAGGATCAACTTGGAACATCGAGGACGTGCTTATTGAGTATATGCTACTTATTCTCGTATTGACTGCCGGTGCTGTTTTATCCTCTCCCTGTCCCTATTTCTACCAGCTATTGCTCGGTCAGCATAAGCGACTTCTGAGATTCAAACGCCGAAAGGCAAGTAGCGGTGATCCTTAGGGGAACACCGCGATCAGCCCTTCCCTGCCTGTGGGGTTAGGCATAACCACACCTTCTACAACTTCAATACCTGCTTCCAGCCTCTCAGTACCGGCTACAAGCCCTTCAGTGGTTACTGCTAGTTCTTCCCCGACCACTGTGGGTGCCACACAGTTACAAAGCGGTAAGCTGTAGCGTCCCTCTCGCCCTCTGCAGGCTCCTCGCCCACACCCTCTATAAGCGCGAGCCAGGGCATCGACCCATGAAATCGCGCCTGCGAAGTAGCTGAGGATCGGGGGCCAGAGTTGATGACATATTATGCAAAAAGAAATTCTGGGACTCGGACGGTCACTGCACCTACACGGGCACGGCGCTCGATGCGGCAATTGAACGAGGCCATACGGAGATTATGGAAATGCTAGCCAAAGTAGAGGCCTAGGTTTGATTTAACACTTTGAATCAACAATCCCGATCCAACTAATGCATGATTATTTTGTGGTAATGGCATGAGACTATTCCTATTCCTCAAGTGCCGCGCTTATCCTTTCCAAGGCCACACTCAAATGGTCATGGCCCTGAGTAAACACAATTCGGAACCAGCCATCCTTCTCCGATCCGAACAAAAACCCGCTGGCCAAAAAGACCTTCTTTTGCAAAAGACGCTGCATGACCCGTTCCCCAATATCCTCACTCTCATCCCCTGGGTGAAGCTCGCGGTACCTCTTTCCCAGGTTCATCCAGACGAAGAATGCCGCATTGCATCCTGTTGCATATTCAATTCCGTGGTCTTTCAGATAGTTCGCCGTGTATGCATAGGATTCTGAGAGCAACTTCTGATTTTGCTGAATATACCGAGTGGTGAATTCAAAGTCTTCAAGCATGAGAGAAGTCAAGTGATCTGTGATTCCAGAAGCATAAGAATAAAGCGCCGGGCCCACCAACGCCGCATGAACATCACGGTTGGCCTGAGAAATGATGACACCGAGTCGGATGCCGTTTGCGCCAAAGTCTTTGCTCATACCCCAGAGGACATGAACCAAACAAGGGTCAATGATCCCAGTCAGATCGATAGAGAGGGCAGATTCGAATTTGACAGGTGGTGGGGATTCATCGACAGTATTTTCAAAGACAGAAAGCGCATAGATTTCATCACTGATGAAATGGATTTGGTATTTCTGACAGAGGCGCATCAACTTAATGAGCACATCCCTGGAATAGCATCGTCCGAGTGGATTATGAGGATGGGCTAGCATCAAAGCCTTGACTTTCTTTCCGGTTGTTCGATGGAACTCCAGCAATGCTTCTTCGTACTTATCCACGCCGCCGAGGCCGAGAGGATCGTGTTCTCCGAAACTGACAGGGACAACGGGGCTCCGCGAACGCAGCGAGATATCAGGAATGAACATGCCGTAGTACGGCCTTCCTAGCAGGATTCCCTCGCCGGGATCAGCGAATGTCCACACAACATGCTCGACTGCAGACGAGACACCATTGGTCGCCATGACATGACTCGGCTCGAGAGGCGTGACTGGCTTCAGATTGTGGTTCAAGAAGGCGGCGATGGAGGCCTTCAATCTGAAAGAGCCGCATCCGCCGTCGTTGTATGTGAGGTACTTTGCCGGTAGCTCGAGCTTCCTGTTGATAAATTTTAAGAGCTCGGAGTGCATCAGGGTGTTCTCTGCTACGCCCACGTTGACATATCCGTTGGGGTTTGTGGATGGGTCCCACAGGTCCTTCATCACGTCCCACATGGGATTCTCGGATCCAGCGTCGACGACATCTTGTGCCCGGCGGGAGAGAAATGATTGACTCATTTTGGAGATTGTCTCGGGAAGAGTTTTCACAGGTTGAAAACAAGGCCGAGTGAGTGAGTGTAGAGGATGAGTTGAAAGCAATCGGTAAAATTAAGTTCTTCCGATATCCATAGGGTCGGTTTCTATCGGCCGGATATGGTAAGTCTGCGTATCTCCATGTGGGGAGCTACCTTGATATCGATTGTCATACCCGAAGGGCGTGTACAAAGTGGGTCCCATTGTATGCCAGCAAGGTATCACGTCCTGTTCACCCTCATTTCATAGAAAACTCGTATTCCGGGGTGCCAGGGCCCCGGGGTGAACTCCATCTACATATACACCAGATTTTATGCGTGAGGTGGCTTTCCCTTTTTTAGTGCTCATCCCTTGCCGCTTTTTGGTCACTGAGTAAAGCTGAGCACTCTTGGTATTATATAATCATTAACCGTCCCCGGCCGGGGGTACAGTGAACATCACCTGACCTCTATGTAAGCTGGATCAGAGGCTAGTTAAGTCAGCGGCTCACCTCACCTGATAACTAAAATGCACCCTTGAACGTTGTCTCAACGTGGCGGTATATCCTAATTGTTTCTCCTTTAGCTGAAAGTGAAATTGCATAGTAGAGTCACATTTATGTATTAGGATTACTATTTTGCGGCTATGCCTTTATTTAACTCGTCTCATCGAGTCTTACATCCATGATACTGTCTAGACCTCCGCAGAGCCCATAAAGCCCAAAGCCTAGCCCAACCCAACCCGCAAATGGGTTGGGGGTTTGGACCCGGTCCTTAGGCCCATCGAAGGGCTAGGGCTTGTACCTCGAGCCCACTGTGGGTTAATGGGGCCCCAAATAATACAAACATAGTTACCGAGAATTTGGATGCTAAGATAAGTTGAACCCCCCTTTTAGGATTAATTAAATTACCTCTGTTTTACGTCCGTTTCTTACCCTAATACCTAAGGTAATATTTTATTAAATTTAATGATTTAAAATCAATTACTAGTATTCTCTCTGTATCACGTAAAAAGATACGAGAAAACGCGTTAATCTTAAAGTTTCAAAATTATAGAGGTTCACTAGAAAGTAGTGGTACTTCCCTAGAAAACCTAGATATATATCTAATATCAAAATATTAACATTCACCTTTTCGGTTATATCTCGACCCTTACCAATCGGATTTTGTTTAAAATTAACATACCTACTTATAGTATTCCCTTTATTCTAAATCCGAAATTTGAACTTTATACGATTAGTGGAAGGTCGTAATACAACGATTACAGAGTCCGCTTTATCAGCGCTTGCATGGGTTTTTATGGGAGCCCAACCCACGGTGGGCTGTAGGTTGGGCCATGGGCCTAGGGTCCAGGCCCATTTATGGGCTTTGCGGAGGTCTAATACTGTCTCTATATACTCCGTTGCGGGAAATATCCAGCCTCAATTCTTAGCTCTACAATATCTAGGGATATCTCAAAGCCCCCCAATTGAATGGATTGTAAATACAGTTCGGCGTCTTATTCTGATTTTTGTTTTTCTAAGAGTTCCCCAAGCTGTTTGGAAGACGGCCATGAAGAGAGCCCAATAGCAAGACCTTCGGACCTCGTGTGCCGAGCCCCGACTGTCGCTGTTAAACCCATCACCATTCATTCATCACTTATCACCTCTAAGTTTGTCATTTACTCTGCTTCAATTTATCTCTTTCTCCTTTTCTATTGTAATCGGTTTTATTTTAAGTGCTTCTCATCATGCAAGAGAGCAGGAAGCGCTCCCGTCTCAGCCCCGAGGTTGACTCCACAACACCTGCCTGCAATCAGTGCCGGTCGCGTAAGGTGAGCGTTCTTACCAACAGAGTAGCTATATGGATCATGTAGTAATGCATTCCCCTTCAGATTCGATGCGATCGTATAAAGCCAGAATGCTCAACCTGTCGCAAAGCTGGTGTCCTCTGCGACTTTTCTGCCTCGTTCAAAAGGACGAATCCGGCAAAGCAACTGTACAACCCACCACGATAGCTTTATTCTTATACGAAGAGGAAAAAGACTAACTCATACAGGGCACAAGACTTCTCGTCAGTCCTCGGCCGGTTGGACCATGTAGATCGATCGCTGATCCACCTGTCTCAACAAGTTGAATCGTTGACCGCAACGTCTACTTCCAGGGAAGAGCCATTCCTCCTGCCGAGTACCCAAGAAAAACCTGGGCCATACACCAATCAGGGGAAAGCGAGCTCGAACACAAGTCCAATAAGACAGGTTTTCTCGACGGAGGAGAGTAGCGAGCATCTGTACAGCTATCCTGCCGCTTTGTGTTTATTCCGCTCCTCACAGAAGTTGCTCAAGGCAACCCTTTATACCAAGTCTCCGTCGCTCAGCGGTCCCTTAGCGGAAATTTCGCAAAATAGTGACCTACGGCCATCGCTAATACATCACTGTGAGACTTTTCCGTTTCGAAAAAGGTGTACTGATAGGCTCAGTGCTGGCGATCAACGGCCTATCTCGGCACCTCCTCAGGATGTCGTGTATTCCTTGCTCGATCGATATCTCAATCACATAAACTTCTTTGTGCCAGTGTTTGAGGCTGATGATTTATATGCCGCCATCCGAGAATGTTTCCAATGTGATGGCCCTCCCATCAACCCTGCCTGGCTGGTGTGTTTGAACAGCATTGTTCTGCTGACGTTACAGCTGGATGCCCAAGTGGCCCGGAGATCTGGCTTCAAAATTAACCCGTGGAGCAATAGTTCGCAGGTAATTTCCGACGCCTTTAACAACTGCTGTCGAGCCCTCGGCGACCCGCACGCGCTGTCGCAGCCAACAGTCGTCAACATTCAGGCTCGCATCATGCTGGTAAGAGAGACACTCCTATAGGTAAATCATAAGCATAGTTGTGTTAAAATTTTGCAGGCGCTGGTGACACGAGAGTTCTTTATCACTACGGCATTTGAAAGGGCTTGCTACTCAGCTTGTCAACTTGCGCGGTCGATGGGCCTTCACCGGTCCGTGGGGATGGATGAGAGCGCGCTACAAGCCCGCGAGCGACTCTATTGGATCCTATACGACATGGACAAGACCCGGGTTTTCCTCCGTGGTAATTCTCCCGATCTACATTTCTTTGACTCCGAGTTTCAGCCCCGTCTATCTACCTCGGACATCTCCCCCGAGATGCATCTCCATGCCATCGCATCACATATGATGACTGTCTGGGAGGAAATCTACATTGGCCTATACTCAGCAAGAGCGGTACGCTCAGGAGCGAATTACCGCAAAGATCAAGTGCATCGGTTGCAACGTCTTTGTGATGAGTCTCTACTTTTAATTCCTCCACTGCGGTCCCACAACCCCGGCCTACGTCTGATGCAGCTGGAGGTAAAATATTGCTATCATGTCAGCAAAAGTTTGATTCACCGTTGTGATCAGAAGGCCGAGAGACGGCAGATCACGCACGATCATGCCGTTTCGGCCCTTCAAATTATGACTGATGTGTTCGAGGAGCCTGTGACCCCAAGCAGCTGCCTTGTCCTGAGCCGGTAAGTGTCCTCGCCCTTCCCCCCAAAGTGCCAAATCCAGACCACTCACGCTGATAAATTGTTGACAGGATGTTCCAAAATTACCCACTAATTGGATTCCACGACCTGTGTGTACGATATCTCACAGGAGATGGTGTGGTCGATTCTGCGGCCATAATTCCACGAATAATGAACCTTCGTCATCAATTGGGCTCCATAGATCATCAGGAAGTATCCAGCGCATATGTGACGAAGCTTCATCAGGGGGTCACTTGGTGCACCGACTTAATTAGCATGGTTTTCGACGCAGGGCAGAGTTGGCAGCCCGCCCCATTCCTGCTGACCCCGTCGGCGACCAATGATTCCAGTGATCCCCAAAAATCTGCGCCGGTCTGTTATGGCTCTGCAACTGAGTGGCTGGAAGATGAGGATAATCTAACCCCGGAGCAACCATATCCCCTCGGATCGTTTCCATCGCCGGATTACTTCTTCGACCCTGCACTTCTTGAATCTTTGCTCATGGAAGGACATTTCGCCTCGTAGAATACAGGTTTTATGATAAATTATAATTGCATTTCTTTATCTTTATTAATTATGACGCTCGCCTAGCTATGAAAGCTGTGCTATATCCGAACCGTCATATAGTCGATAGCACTACACACACCCCCGCTTTCCAACACTCAAGACCCGGCAATACTGCGACTAAATACATATCACAGACCTCGCATGAGGTTTTAAAGACCACACAAAATCGGGATGCAACATTCTCTCCCTCACATTATCCTCCCCAACTTCTCTGGTGTCGTATTTCAAGTTTTGTTGGCCGACATGCGAGACCACATCCGAATTTTCTGTCCATAAAATAAGAAAACAACTGGAACGGGGGCCAAAGCAACAGCCAAGAACGCCAGAAGACTAGTAGCCCAAGGGAAGCCCAGGTTGTGGTACATAGCATTAGCAAAGAGAGGAAATCCGGCCCCGAAGCAGCTTCGAACAACCGTATTGGCAGAGATCGCGCTATTCGCATAAATCAGGTACACATCGACAATGTATTTCAGACCAGAGATGAAAATGGCAAACATCGACGACGATACCAGCGCTGGCGCCACGATTTCCACGCCCCAAGAAATATGGGGGTTGCTGGTCCACGCAAACCAGAACAATCCAATGGGCAGTCCAATGGCGCCCACAATCATGGGCGGCAAGCGGCGCTCCGGTATAGATTTACCTGGGGTTGAATTTACCTGGCGCGCGAAGATCGTAACGGACCAAGTGAACATGCCCACCAGCCCGATGATGATCCCGACGAACAGACCCAGGAAGGAGAGAGATCCGATCTGAGGCTTCCAGCCGCGTTGCTCCACGAACGAGATGGGAAAGCCTTGAAAGAAGAGGAAGAGTAGCCCGTACAGGAATCCCATGTACAGTGTGACCAGGATCATGATGGGCTCTGTTGCAAGGAGAACTATATGACTGGTCAGAGGGTAAAATGATCAAAGTCCGTGTGACTACTTACTCCACGGACGCACGAGATACACCTTCACAAAAGAGTTCATCGTCGTCTCACTTTCCTCCTCCTTACTATGCAATGCCCAGTTCTTCGTTTCAAAGCGAAGTCGAGCTGCCTTGGCCGTGAGTAGGGTCGGTCCAAAAGTCTCAGGCAGGACGAGCACGGCGAAGATTGAGAAGCTATAAGCAATGATCATTGTAATCCACATGGTCCATCGCCAGCCAAGATAACTCTGGGTGATGAAATCACCCACAATTGGTCCAATAACGGGGCCAACGAAGGCCGTGGCCACGAAGTAATCCAGCGAGATTCCGCGACTGATCGCAGTGTTCCATACGTCTGTCAAGGCACCGCCTGTCACGGCCATAGATGATGCACCAAAAGCACCGCTAAAGAATCGCGAGATCAAAATTGTATAGAAATTCTGTGCGAGGGCAATCGGAATACAGAAGGTTGCGAATAGCACCACACCACTGAGAATGGGCCATCGGCGCCCGTACTTTTCCGATAGAGGCCCGAAAATCAATGGACCGGTAATAAACCCCTATGTGTAGAAGGATATAATCGATTAGCTCTGGAACTTCTGCCAGGAGATGTAGAAAAAAGGGAGCTATACAATCAGAAACATGGTGGTGGTCAGAACAGCAAGCTCGGAGCTGACATGGAATTCCTTCTCCAGCGATGGAGCAGTACCACTCATGACGCTGGAACCGATATTGACGACCAAAGGCAGCATAATGAGCACAGAGCTGACGAATAATTTGTACTTTGGGGACCAGTTATGAGGATTTTCAGGGTCATTCGGGCCGTCCCATTCTACTATCCATGTCGGCTGTGCGGGATCGGGACCCTTTTCGGCATTCTCGACATTATCAGCGTTCTCAGTAGAAGAAGTGATCGACATTTTGTGTGATTATTATTGATATTGAGCGTGGTCGAAGGCATTATCTATATGCGTCTGACTGCGGAGCTCGGCAGCCGCGTCCGAGTTAATGATGTGTGTATGCAGGGAATCATCATTTATGATCCATAGATTGACCGGAAGTACGGCACACATATACAAGGAAGGGACAGGCATAATATTATACTCCTGAAGGTGATAGCAGCATCTAGTCACCGCTGGGTTTCTTGTATCCAAAGCCACTCGCTATACCACCATAGAAGCAGCAAGCATAACAAGCCCACCAAACCCATCCATTCCCTCGCACCACTCCTCCCAATTTGCAGTAGTCCTCGCTGGGTTGTTCGCAGTAATAGATGTATGGACCAGCGCTGTCCCACCGTTATTCTCACCAAGTTTGACCAAATCCCCGCTGTTAGTTAAACCAAATTCAGCCTGAACTTCGCCTTCTCTTTGGCTTTCTGACTTCCACACAGCCTCATTGCCTGCTTCCCAAAGCTGTTTCTTTGCTGGCAGTGGTGCGAGAACCAGATCCATGGGTAAATTGCACATTTCTGCGGGGTTAAAGTAGAACAGCATGTTGAAAACTTTGTAAACAACAGATAATCTAGATATATTAATCAGCATCTTTCCGGTGAATTCAGCACAGACTAATAGTGAGAGACAAACCTTCGTCTTGATTCCTCGAAAAGCCAATCTTCCCAACTTCCGTCGAGACTGAAGTTTCCCGCAATGTCATTTTCAGTCAGTTTTTGAGCCACAACCTAAATTATATTATTAGGATCAAGTCAACAGAGGTTCATATACTGTCTATACTCACTGTAACTGCCGCAATTAAAAGTGAATCGAAGCCATTGTACTCCGTTTCTCCGTCATCAAGCCGTATAATGATGTAAATAGCTAGGGCTTGCATAGCAGCAAGCAGCTCCCATTTCGACAATGTCGGACCCTAGGGATCCTGATTAGCTTCTTTTGCATTATCTCTCTAAGCCACATCACCTCGCACCTCATCGCACAGCCGTTCACACTCCATGCGCACATTTCTCCAGAACAGCTTTCGATTTCCTTTCATCTCACCGCTGATCATATGCACCAAATTAATGCAGTTAATCAGCGGTTCCATGGAAAACTCGGAATGCACTAAGGATGGATGGATAAATGGTGGAAGAGAGTTGTGGCGCAGCATTGTGAAAACATAGGATTTTAGCGTATGTAGTAGGAGCTTGGCAGTTCGTTCTATCCCAACGTTGATCTTTGGTCTTTTAATGAGTGAATGGGGCTTGGGCGTCGGCAATGCTGGTATTGACCAATTGGCAGCGATAGGAAGGTTGATTTGAATTTCTTGGTCAATCGGAGGCGAGACTGGAGAGACTAGTGGACCCCCGGTCCAGGGGTATAGGTTTGTCTGGCTTGTATGGACATTCGAAAATTCCGCGAAGTTGTAATCTGGTACATCCCAGTTGAGATATTCGCGTTCAAGGTCTGTCATCTCTTGATCTACAACAACAAGCTCATCATGGCGAATCGTATCTCTATTTTGGTAATTCGAAAGATTCAAGGCATTGCTGTCCTGAACAGCAGATTTTTGAGATTTGGGCGACTTTGAGTCATACTGGCATTCAATACCCTTGACGGTGCATCTCGAGCACTTGGGCCACTTCTTATCGCAACGTGTCTTCGTTTTTGCACAAAAATGACAAGATCTGGGTCGAGGGGTATGACCAACGCCTCGGGACCGACAATAGTACCCATGTCTCTTCAGCGTAGACTCTATAATCCACTCAATTTAGTAAGATGGGAGACCAGTTCTAATAGGGGTGAAACTTGCCCTTATCGAACGGTTTGTTACACTCAGTGCACCGCAAGACGGATTGGGCAATTTTCTCGGACATTTCAATTTAGACTTGTCATTTGTATATCCCGAAGATCATAGGTTGATTGTCCTATTAGGAATGGTTCATTGGGGCTGCCTGGGGAAGTGAGGTCCTGGGCGGGGTATTTGTCAGCTCGGGCAGAACATTTTGTAAATGCCGATTTAACGACCCCGAGTCTGTCTCTGGCCACGTTAGTAGTTAACAATATGATCAGCAATTGCTATCTACTCGAAATTCGAGTCATTCCTGTAATTCCGATAAACCAACACTGTCAAATTGCCAAACTCCGTGACCGACATGAGGTTCACATATAAGAATGGACGCCGTCCTTCAGAAAGCATGCTCTCCATCAACAAGCAAAACCAATATTTCGATCCATAAACACATCTTATAGCCATGGCAGCCCCGTTCCCATCCCCGACCACAAAATGGCACTCGGAAGCCTACCCGTCTATATCCCCCAGCCGACCGGAGCTTTCTGCCAAAGGCAGAACACTGGTAGTGACCGGAGGAGGTACGGGCATCGGTTCCGAGACTGCTCGCCACTTTGCCGAGGCAGGCGTATCTCGGATCGCCCTCCTTGGCCGCAGAGAACAACCGCTTCTCGAGACCAAAGCCTCCATTGAAAAGACGTTTCCCGGCGTCAAGGTATTCGTGGCCCCGACCGATGTTACGAACAAATCCCAAGTGGACGCGGCTTTTGCTGAATTCGCCGGTGACGGATCAATCGATATTCTGGTTAGCGGTGCAGCTGTCATTGGACCGCAGGAGGCTGTGGAAAGAGTCGACAGCGACAAGTTCCTTGAAGCTATTCAGGATAACCTCAAAGGTTCACTGGCGGTTGCCCAGGCGTTCCTTCGACATGCATCGCCTGATGCCGTTGCTATCGACATCAACTCATCTGCTGCGCATGTGAATTTCGGTCCTGGGTTTGCTTCTTACAGTGTCGCCAAATTTGCTGTATTCCGACTTTGGGATTCTCTGGCCTTTGCGAATCCAGGTATCAGCGTGTTCCATATCCAGCCTGGTATTGTGGATACCGCAATGAACAGAGAGGCTGGAGGTGTTAAAGCCACTGGAATTGAGGATCACGGTAAGTCAATGTTTGATTTCTGATCAGGGTGAACAAGAAGCTGATTTTGGTAGTGTCTCTGCCGGCGAGCTTCAGTGTTTGGCTTGCAAGTCCCGAGGCTCGCTTCTTGAAGGGCAAGTTTTTGTGGACAAACTGGGATGTTGATGAGCTCAAGGCTAAGGCCAAGGAGATTGAAGAGAGCAATCAGCTTAGTATTGGGCTTGGCGGGTGGCCTTTCGAGGATGCCAGCTGGAAGTCAACGTGGAAGGCTTAGCCTTTTCCTGTTATTCCGATTTTCCTGTATTTAGAGGCTTGTGCTTTGACCTCGAATTGATTAGGGTAAATTTGGGCCAGCCCAACAGCTATCAATTCAAATTTGTATATCTTTTTCTTGACGTCAATGCCAAGCTTCGGTATGAAGCTATCATCCTCCCCACATCAAAAGCCGAACACCGAACTACAGAGACCCATAAATTTGGGTTTAGAGAAAGATAATACTTCAAAGCTCCATTTTACCTGTAAGCAGGGCCCTAGCCCTCCATACATCAAACCCCGAAACCCAAAAAGTAAACCTCATTCATACCACATATACCCACGCCGCACAGCTTCAAAATAGACCTCCACAGCACAATTAAGCACGATATCCTGAGGCATCAAATCTACCCCACTGGAATGCCGATACGTAGGCCTCTGCGGATATGCCGAAGGATTCAAAGTCCGAGGTTCAATTTCCTTAAGTTCCACACCCTCAACCTCCACCAAATCTATAACCGCTGCATACTGATTCGCCTTCATAACAATGTCGAGCAGGCTCCCTTCCGCGCGTGCGCACCGACCTCACGATTAGTAGCATCGGTGAGGTACCAGAAAGCATTATTCAGTCTTGCATTGTGATATCGATCCAGCTTCTGGATGAACTTGGGCATCTCGTTAAAGTCACAGAAGATGGTGTAGAATGTGATGGTGGCGTTGTGAATGCGGGGCCTATCGCTGAGGTCTCCTGTTGAGTTGTTTGCATTGCGGTCCTTGGATGCGAGGTAGATGTGACTGGCGGAGATGCTTGATACTGCGGCTTCGGGTTTTACGGTTCCGTTTCCTTCTCGCAGGCATGGTGCTTCTAGGATTTCGCGGAGGCTGTTACAGGTCGAGATGACTTCCCAAGAGGTTTCTTCGGACTTGCTGGATGATTCTATGATGAGGTGGATTATTGCTCGTTCTGGGAAGCGACGGGCGGTATAGTAGCCTCGTAGAGTCATGGTGAAACATGTCATGGTTGATGGTTATTTGTTATTTGATTAGGAATGAAAGAGGATGAGGGTAGAATTAAGAATTTAAGGGTTTAAATAGCCATGACACCAGACGATGGAACAAACACTGGGGACTTTGGAGAGTCTCAAGTGAATAAATGAATATATTCCTCTTGGATATAGATGTTTTGACCAATATCAAACCGCTCAACCTAGCAGTTGCTCCTGCTTAGCACCCTCAACAGCAGCAAGGTAAGCCGGACGGTCCTTAACATAGAACTCAACATCAACCTTTCCTTTGAGATTAGCCTCCCCGCCGTCGAGTGTTCCAGCCTTGACGCAAGTCATATCGGGCATGATCTCCAGTTCTGTATAGATACTTGAACCGCAGGTAGGGCAGAAGAAGTGCTTATTGATCTTTCCACTGTCTCCGACTGCATCGTAGGAATTGGGGGTACCTGTTTAGAAAGACGAAAGGGGTCAGGAATGAGAAGTTGATCGTGGGCAAGGTATAAATTTACCCTTTGTCACTTTGAAGCTGATGCGGGGAACGACTGCATTGGAGGTAAATGCACTACCGGACCACTATTCAATGTTAGAGATTATGTTCAGGTTCATTGGCATATATAAGGCTTGTGTTTCACCTTCTGGCAGTCGGTGCAGTGGCACAGGGCGGCCAGATATGTGTCAGCTAGGATGTTGTTAGCTTTGGATGTATCTTGGTTCGAGCAATTGATATACCTTCAACGGCGTAAGTAACACCGCCGCACATGCAGCTTCCAGTGAAAGTCATTTTGAGTTCAGGATAGATAGTACGTATACTAGCTTGTGTGAAGAAGCACCTTGGTGGAATAAAAGTACAAAAAGCGGGGTTGGTGTCAGGCTTTTATACTTCGCATTGTCCTTATCCTTTCGGTATTTGATCTTCGATCGAACGCCGAAGTGAGGGATTTAAGGGTTTACTCCTCAATCAGGGAAATGGGAAGTTTACCGTTTAATGGTGTAGAAAGGAGTAGACATGGGCAGGCAGAAAAAAAGATTGGCATCATTCCTAGAAACAAGAACCTGCTTTATATACATCATCCAAGAGTCAAAGCAGTTAAATAGACCCAACGCCTGGTCTCTACCAAAAAACGCGAGATTAGAAAAATCAAGAGATAAGAAATAAATGAAGGTAAAAAGTTGACACAAGACAGCACTGGTGTATATCACTTCAAGATCCAAGTAAGAAACGTCATTGAGAAGAAGATAAGACATAAGGAAAAATGGCGAAAGAAAGGAATGACAATAACCGGGGTATAGAGAGGATACATGGACTGCGAAGCTTGATCGAACTAGAAATGGAGAACATTCAAATGCCCCCGGGGCAAAGAAGAGTTACGGGGTATTGACAAGAAAAGTGAGATTTTATGTCCATAGGGACAGGTCTCTTGATCAAAATGCCAGCACTTTACAGTATGGGGGACAAATTCCCCAAGGGAAGCCAAGCATCATCAGGTTTTCGGCTTTTTATGTGCACCTTCCCCTGCGGATCCACTATCGGGGCTTTTTCTCTTCTTGTCTTGTTCGTCTTCTCGAGAAAAGCTGGGGCCGCTTTGCACTGCCGGAGTCGGGAAGGTGAGGGGACTGGGCAGCATGTTGGAGTCTGGGCCGGACCGGCCAAAGCCCCATTCGGGGAAGAAGCTGGAAGGTGACGGGAGGAGGGCATCGGATACAAACCGACTCGGCAGGGCAGATATGGGTGTTTCGATGTTATTCGAGTTATTCGCATTATTCGGATTTCCACTACTGCTGCCGTAAGAGTCGTTTCGCGTTGCGGCAACGGGAGGAGGCGGTCGTGCGAACGGATTTGGAGGCCCTTGCGCTCCCGCACTCAGTATTGCACCGGCTGATGGCGACGGAGGGGGTAAGACCACGCCCGGGGGACCATTTTCGGCACTTCCTTTCGCAGGCGTGGAAGTTTTATTCCCAGCGGAATCGCGTGACGAGTCGGCCGTGGCACTGCCACCATCGGAGGTTTCGCTAGGAATCTGCACCTTTAACTGCGGTCGTTTTGATGGCAACGGTCCGCTGTTAGTTCGAGATGGTGGTTTGATTTTTGGCGTCGAAGCAATTGGCCCTGGACGAGGTGCCTCCGTCGCAGCTCTGACAGGCATTGATTTGGAACCAAGCGAAGCTTGTGGTAGTGCTTCGACCTTGAGAGAGTTGTTATTGTGAGACTCATATGATCCCGCTCCAGCTCCAAAATGGCGGGCGAGCACCGATCCTCGATCATCAATGGGGGTGAAAATACTCCGTGATTTCGATAGCGACTTCATTTGGGGTGGTGACTGGCTGTGCTCTACTTTCATTGCAGAAGAATCATCTTGGGGGTGCTCCGAGCCAGGCCGTTCTTGGTGACCATCAGGGGCGAACCCTGGAGGCATCGAATTTCTCCCATGTTCCTGCATGTATGTCTGCTGCACGTGCTGGTGGGGCCCCGGGGGCATTCCTACGGGATGGGCGTGTTGTTGGAAATGCTGTTGGCCCTGGTGCTGGGGCGGTATTTGCTGGGGCGGCAAACCGTGCGGGTGCATAGGAGGCGTTCCTTGGTGTTGTCCTGGTGGGTGTCCATAGTGCGCAAACTGTCCCGGTCGAGGTTGATGGTTCATAGCGTGGACATTCGGATTGTACATGGACGGATTCGGCATATACGTAAACCCTCCATTCTGCGGGCCAGGGGGTGGCGGCGGTGGAGGTGTACCATGTTGCTGAGGGCCTAGATTTGAACTGACTCGGCGGATGTGATTCCTTGAGGAGGGACGCGAAGTGCCTTGCGGTTGCGGGGTTCCATGACGTGTCATGGCATGATGGATAGGGGGTGACGCGGAGGGTGCATGATTCATGTGCTGGAAGACGGGCTGATTCTGGAGGTGAGGGGGAATGGCGGGGTGGCTCTGTTGAACTGCTTGGATATCCTCGGGAGCCGGCGAAGCCTCATCTTCTTCATCATCGTCATCTCGCTTACCCGCGAAATCTTCCGGACCTTTATGCTCGTGGGGAGGGCCAAACTGAGAAAGAATTACCAGTTAGAGATTTTCGGGATAAATCGAAGGAAGTTCTACCCACATATTGATAGCGACCAAGAGCATCATGCATGTCGCATGATGAATACTCGTACAGTTTCTTGTTGTGGCCAAAAATAATGACAGCTACATCAACGGAGCAAAGGACGGCGAGCTCATGCGCCTTCTTGAACAGACCCCCCTTTCGTTTCAGAAACGTGCTATAGCCGAAGAATCTCCGGTTAGCGACTAGAATGCTTCAAGTGGGATGATTCAACATACACTGAGCGGTTGCGGTCATCTTTGATGGCCTTGATCTCAATCTTTCTGCGACCCATGATGGATAACTACGGGCGCATCAATTGCGCACCGATAGCAAGATTGAGAATAAAAGGTACAGGGAGCCGCGGAGCGACTTGCGAGATACCTCGCGCGATTATGATTTAATTAGCCAAGATGTAGAATCGACGCGATGGCGATCCTAGCCACACGGTGGCACACGGGTGTATGTGAAGATATTTTGTCTCTTCACGAGGATATCTGAGGAATAGTATGACTAGTCAACAAAGGGATCCGAAACCAGAAACCAATGTGGTTTCACCGTAAGAAACTCTGTAAATAGTTGAGGAGGGGGCTGGACGCGACTTGACAACAATCAAGAACCCCCGGAGTTCAAAGGACAGTGAACCCGAGGAGATAGGAAATGTTTAAGGGGCAATAAAGGTTCCAAAAAAAAAAAACGAAGTAACTGGGAGCGGAGAAAGGATGATTGACGATGCAGGAAAGGTTGATTCTAAAGATAGAATCGAGGGAGAGACCTGAGAAGATTTACTTGCTGACTCATCTAGGCCTTAGGCGCCGGGATTCTATATTTATCTTTGTCTCAGTAAGAAGGACTTGTTACAAAGTACCCATGACATGTTACTACGTACAGTTAGTCTTTTCCCTGCAGTGGCTTGTCACAGTGGGGTCTTCCCCTCCAGCTCCTATTGGATTTTAATTTATCGCTGCTCGGATATACCAACTCCGTAGTCTTTCAGCTCTTCAACCGTGTAAGGGAGTAACCCTGGAGGGATGGGTCTATGATGTCAACCCGGGGAAGCTCAGGCACTGATATACTGTAGATTAGAGATCCACAGAGATGTCAGATTTATATTTCAGATAAAGCTATAAAGCTATAGAGCTATAAAATTATAAAATTATAAAACCATCCATGATACCAGGCAGTTCTAGTCCCGTGATATAACCCTACATCTCCCTATAAAGAGTAAAGCGCCAGATCTGTATAATCTGATCTCAAAGCCACCATTGCATCTTATAAGTTAAAGTAAACGTCTTATGTATTTTGACATATGTATATGTAGGTCAAGTACATCCATTACTTACATCCATGTGATTGGCTCTAATAGGAGATTGGGCAGGGAGATCATATATACATGTCGACACGTCTGAATGACAGTCCAATAGAATAGACCTATAACCCATATACATAATAAATATACATAACCTTGGATCCCCCAAACCCAGATCAGAAAAATGATCACTGTCGGTATCATTCATTCTAATTCTTCCCAAGTTCAAGTTCAATTTCTTTTCTAAAATAAAATAAAAACGTTGAAATCCTTTGTGTGGGGAGATATTTAACGGAGTCGAGACTCTCAGCGGGTAAGTTTAGTTTGGTTTACCCCTGAGCTTCGTGACTTCACTTTTTTTTTTCCACTTCTCTTCTCAACCCTCGCTTTTTCGTTTCTTTTTCTTTTCTCTTGTGCTTTTCGTTTCTGAGGTTTCTTGTGTGGTTCCCACTCTAAAGAAGCACAGATCAGATCCCAGACCAAGGGATCCTTTTACTTTGTCCTGCTGTTACCGGGGCTGCAGGACATCCCGGACACGCCTAGACATTTTAACTATTCACTCGGTCGAATTACCGTGTCGGTTGTCTGCATTTTGTCATTTGAGACTTCTTGC